TGGTTATGACAATGCGAACCTGTCCATTGCCACGATCTTTTGATCGCATTCTCTAACCCCCAGGTTGGCCACGCGAGTTCGACTCCTATCAGAACTTGACGTACATGACCCGTATCCAGTGTTTAATGCTCCATATCATTCAACGCATCCACAGCTCGCTTCCCTTGGCCTGGTTTCTTCCCTACGTAACTAAAGCCACTGGTTTACATCACATCCCTTGTTTCCTCTCGATTCACTCTTATTATACGCGCATCTCCACCGATAGACGAGGGTCTAAACAGGCTTCTGACCTGTAAATCGGTTCGCGCGAGAGACTTTGGCATGCTCTACATTCTTGAGAACCTTCAAAGGCAACTTGGACACTTTGCTCTGCTACTTCTTGGTTCTAGATTTGATTTGGACTCTATTTAATTTTGCTTCTGATCCATCTAATCGACCCCGCGCTAGCTCTCGTTTTATATCCATGCCAATGAGTATTTGAATTGGCTCCCCGCACTATAGTCGAGAACCTGGTGAGTACTTGGCTGCTTGACTCATCTGGTCCTTGTTTCATCTTCATTATGGATATTCCAAAGCCAGGTGAAGGCGATGTTGACATCGGTATGTTCACCAACGGGCAAAGGCCAAGCAAGCAAATGGACCTAGAACATCGTGGATTGACAGGTATTTACAGGAGCAAGCACATTCCGAGCTTGTTGGGTATGCTATCCTTAGCTCTAGATTACCTTTACATATGTGCATACTAATCTTCAAGCAGGTCCTCACAGCTATTGTCGGCGTGGCATTGTTGTTCCGTTATGCCATCAAGATCTGGGTTGGCTGGGCTTTACCGCAGGTTACTGCACCCGCGCGAATCTGGGGTACAGAGGACTTGTTCTTCCTTTTGGCTTGGGGTTTTGATATTACCCATATGATATTTATTCAAATGAGGTGGGATAGACTTTTTGTCTTGTTGTTACTCCATGCCAAATACTAACTCTATGTAGTGCCAACTGGGGCCTTGGAAGACATTTCTTCTACTTGACTAATGAAGAACGTCTTAATGCTATGAAATGGGACTTCCTTTCACAGCCGCTCGCTGTCACATCGGCAATGGTCTCACGAGCAGGGATGATGTGGTTTCTTTTGACTTGCTTTTCGGCAAGTGACAAGAAAATCCGCTTGTCCATTATTGTCTGTTCTGTCGTTCAGGTTGCCGTCAATATGGTTACAATCGTCCAGATTATTGTCCAGTGCGGGCCGAATCCATATCAGACGGTTAGTATCCTCCTTCTTAGTGCTTGACCCATTCTAATTTTCATCGCAGACCGACCGAGTCCAATACTTCCACTATATGTGGACACCACTCCCCTGAAGATGGCTCCGTCAAGTGCCAATCACCATCTGTCCAGACAACTGTTGGCTTTGTGCAAGGAGGTATGTGAAATGATCATACTTCGGCTCAACGCAAAGCTAATTACAATTCCTACAGGATTCAACACAGTCATAGATTTCTTCCTTGCCGTGCTTGCTGCCGTCGAACTCTGGCAATTCTTCCTGCGAACCCTTCACCGTAATCCGCACACCTCAGTCTGGTCTCAATTCTGCAAAATTGGTGGCACCGTGCGATCCCGCCGGATCTGGCAGACCATCACTCTCAGTGGACCACTGCTCCTCTCCGGCTGTGCTTCTATTGTAAAAACTTATGTGGGTAATATGTTGTTTCCCAACTTATACAACGCTAATATCATACACCAGAAACTCAAATCCCTCGGTGATAGGCAGGACTTCACATATAACATTGTAACCTTCGTTCTTTGGGTGAAGTAAGCACAACTATCATCCCCCAGCCCCAGCATCATTAACTAACAACCCTAGAATTGAAAACTACAGCATCCTCCTCGCCTCCTGCGCTCCAGTAGCCCGTCTCTTCCTCCGCTCATTCGTCAACCACAGACGCGAAGGCCGCAGTCACGGCTATTGGTCTCGCTCCCGATCAGCGGGCCACAACGAGATTGACACAGAGCTGAAACGCCGCGCAGCAGTTCAGGATCAGTGGCTAGATTCGGCTACGGTGACTAATATGGCCAATGCCAATGCTTATATTAAGGATGAGGAGGATCAGTGGAATGGGCATAAGCATGAGCGCTCGAGTAGTCAAATTTCGAAGGCAGAGATTCCCGAGCATCTTGATGATGGTCGTGTTACTGTTAAAACAGATATTGTTGTTCAAATTGATGATGGGAGGTCGATTTCTTCGGGTGGCACGAGGTTGTTACCTGATGGGGGTGAATCTCATTCTGCGGGATTTCATTGATTTACAGTATATAGATCTCTAGTATATAATAAGGTCTTGAAAAAAAAACTTCCTATTTTCCTTGCTACGCTATATTCGTGTGGAAAGTCGAGGAAGGCCACGGTGCCGCCGGCGGACAAGGAGAGAGTCTGCGATCTAATTGCACCAGGTGGGGAGATATATAGAATGTATACATGTATCCTTTTCAAACAGGTATCTGACAATTGAGAGGACTATATTGGTATGGAGTTATGGTATTATGAACAAATCTATACAACATGATAATGTAGGGCAACCCCTGCTCTGGTTTTTTGGCTCATTGGCACGGCTTGTGCATTTTCTATGCCAAATTTCCTCCGTTGACAGAGAAAACATACGATAGTCTTTATCTTTGTTTAGTACTAGGGAGATATATAGCGATATTAGAAAATAGTTGGATGTGGAGTATGCTTCGTTCTATATATATAACGCGGACCACCTAAAAGTGATGCTCAATAAGCAACCAATATAGTGTATACGATAGTCCTCAATCAAAGTAGGCTGTGTAGTGGCTTAAACTGAGGGAAAAGAGGTAGAGTATATAAAAACAATGATATCAACATACATGAATTTGGAGAGAGAATAACTGTACTGATCATAACTATGTTTAACTAGTTACTTATCATTGTGTACTATACAAAGATCTGGGCCATAATGCCATTTTTCGGCGGCCTCTTCATCAATTGGCCCCAGTGGTCGAGCAGTTTCCTGGTCTAGCGGTTATGATTTTCCGTTAACAAATGCGATTAGCGTGTGTTCCGGAAAGGTTCTGGGTTCGATTCCCAGGGAAACTATTTTTTTGTCTTTCTGCTCTTTTTTTGTTTGGCATGTTAGTATTAGTGGAGCACTTCAATTTCCTTTTCACCCAATCTCCCATTCAACAGTTTCCTGGTCTAGCGGTTATGATTTTCCGTTAACAAATGCGACTAGCGTATGTTCCGGAAAGGTTCTGGGTTCGATTCCCAGGGAAACTATTTTTTGTATCTTTGCTATGTAAATGTTAGCTGAGGTACTTCAATTTTTTCCGATTTGTATCACTCACAAAATATTTACTTCCTATCACTTTAATGGATAATTAAGCGTGATATGGCCAGTGCCTAAGCTGCTGGTATTAATATAAAATATTTTAAAGTATATTTATAAATTAAAAAGGAAAAAAAGCCGACTAGTATTGTAGTAAAAAGAAGGCAGTACTCCGTCCACATAGTTACTAGGATTATAGAAAATGTTGCCTACTTTGCCTATGATCCAACCTTGAAGAGAGGTGAATCCTCCCTAGTTAGTTAGTATGTACAACAATGTATCTTAAGTCTGTAACATTGCAAGCTTGTTTCAGCCTTCAAAGATTCAAGAATATCACCGATGACATAGCAATCACGTGCATCTATCCAAATCCCCGCTGCGTCGTCAATAGCTTCACACTTCAACAATGCCGCCTAAAAAGCCCTTCCCCTACCGACGGAGCTCCAATGCCTCGGAAGATGACTTCTTCGATATCCCGGAAGAATCGTGTCTCTCCATAGTCAAGCGCCAGCTACGTCGTGTCCGAACATGGGTCGCAGTCGCCCTTATCGTCCTATTTATCCTGTGGCAACGCCGTGAACGTCCCCCACCGCCGCCCTTACCCCATATCCACTACGACGAGGTTGACTGGTCGCGCTTTGCCTATACCCAGTATGCAACCAACGAGGTCTACATGTGCAACTGCCTGATGGTCTTCGAGGCCCTGCACAGACTCGGCAGCAAGGCGGATCGCGTATTGTTTTACCCGGAGGAGTGGGACCTCGTTGTCGAGGATGAGCGTGATCGTGTCAGCCAGTTGCTACTTGAAGCTAAACACAAGTACAACGTACTGCTGATTCCGATTAAGATTGAGGGAGTTCAGAATCCAGCAGGTGAGTTGGACTCCCGTTGTGGGAATCGACCTAGCCTCTTGGGCACACCTACTTACATGTCAATCCCGTTTCATAGTCTCCGGTTCTACGGCTTCGTGGGATACTAGCACCGCCAAGCTCATGGCCTTTGGTGAGCACGAATACGACCGCGTCATCCATCTCGACTCGGACGTTCTCCTCCTACAGACAATGGACGAGCTCTTCTTCCTCCCGCCTACCACTGCCGCCATGCCACGTGCCTACTGGCTTCTCCCAGACAAAGTGCTCTCGTCCCTGATGCTCGTCATTGAGCCCTCCCTCCGCGAATACCTTGCTTTGACCGAAGTTACTACACTCGCTCAGAATGGTCAAGTCGATATGAACCTGACGGACCACCGGTATGATATGGAGCTGTTGAACAGGCGGTATGGGGACTCGGCGATGGTCCTCCCGCATCGACAGTATGGTCTGTTGACCGGCGAGTTCCGGACGAAGGATCATCGGAATTTCCTGGGGAATGATGATGAGGTGTGGGATCCTGATCATGTCCTGGCGCAGGCTAAGTTTGTGCACTTTTCGGATTGGCCATTGCCGAAGCCGTGGATTATGTGGCCGCAGGAAATGCTAGCGGAAGAGCAGCCGAAGTGTGATAATCATCCTGGCACGCGGCAGGAGAGTGGGTGTCGGGATCGGGAGATTTGGAAGATGATATATGATAAGTATCGGAGACAACGAAAGGTATGTCTGTCTCTGGGGACGAGGATGAGTTGGTTGGTTGCTAATTGTTGGTAGGATATCTGCAAGCTGCTCAGTTATCCGGCGCCGGTTTGAGCGGGAACAGGGCCTTGATTAACTGTATAGATATGTAGCATAGGTAGATTATGGCGTTTGGGTTATTAACTCTGTAAAGGGAAGTCATGAATCAACGACAGTCACTGTAGTATCAAAAATCACAAAATTCGACTGGATATCTCCAAAAGTAGTATACAAAACACCCAAACACCCAAAATGCAACTCCATCCCCACGAAGTGATCAAGCATACCCCATCCCCCTCCTCCACCAATTCCACACCCCCCTCCTCGCCATAATCCCCCAAACTCCTTAACACTCTCCACCTCGTCCAATCCTAAAGGGAGATCCAACTCTTTCCCATCTTTCTTCTCCCCCTTCCCGTTCCCGTTCCCAGTCCCCTGTTTTCCACATTCACCCTCCTCCTCCTCCACAACCCCTGGTCTCGTAACCAACTGGAAATCCTTATATCGCAGTCGACGGACAATGTCCACCCAGCTCTCCACCGGCTCCTTCCCGCCCTCCACGTACATGATCCCCGGACATCCGCCGGAGCGCAGGAGTACGGCGCATTGGTGTGTGTCTGCGGCGCGTTTGAGGGCGGCTACTTTTTTGCGGGAGGTTATGTGGTGGGTGCGGATTAGAGCGTTGTAGAGGGTTTGCATTTTGGGGAGGTGGAGAGGAAGCGGGAAGGAAGTTGAGGCTCCAAATAGGTTGGAGATTCGAGCTTGGAGGCGCTAAACTGGATTAGGAAATAGGATGTAGGTATAGGTTTGGTGATGAGTTTTGATATGTATACTATGCTATTAGGTATTAGGTATTAGTTGTTACTAAAGAATTTAATTTGGGTGATCTTTGATTTGATTATAATCACTACTGTACTGTGTGTATATGGCTATGATCATGATATTTCGTCTAACTATATATCACAACTATATATTACAAAGATAGACACCTGAGGTACCAATATATTAGTAATCCCACGTGAGAAATTCTCCGGTGCAAAAGTGTCAAAGTGCACGAACTTGTTGTGTATGACAACGTGTATGACAATGCAGGTGCCTTGGAACACAATGTGACATATATAGCTGATATAGTGGACTGAAAAATACTATATACAACATATGGATTATACCCCTAATATAGGTATGTATAGGACTGTCTCCGAATTCTAGACCATATAGACTTGACTTCCTACAGCATATATACGATATAGAATTATACGGTGAACGAGTTAGCCGCTATAATAAAGATCGCCCCCCCTCCCATATGGCCTCTTGAATGGTTCAGTGGATCCTACTTCTCGTCTTGGCTTCCTTTTTCTGCAAAACAATCGCGCGGTGCCCGCGGATTCCGTCGACCTTCTCCGGTCTTTTTCCATCTCAAGCTTTTTCTCCGAATAACCACCAAAATTGAAAGCAACAAAAGCAATAATAGTGATAAACCAGGAAAAAAAGACCATGGTTTGCACCCTTGTCATTGGCCATGAGGACAATATGATCACATATCCTCTTTCGGCCCACCATCTTGACGATTCTGCTTTTTTTTCATTGCCCACCGGATTGGTTGGTCATCTCCATGAGAATCATAATGAGCCTTGGCTTCCCTTTTGGGAGGTATCTAGTCGTATTCTTCTTTTTCCTTCTTCTTCTTCCTCTTCTTGGTTGAACTGAATTCTTATTCTTGTTCTTTATAAATATAAATCAAGATCGTGCAACTTCTTCATATATAGTACCATGACTTCGGAATTTTCTTGAACTGTCTAAAGGCTTCAATATGCCCGCTCCTCTTCACCCCCATCTGAAGCATAGCTCTTCCTTTGCCACAGAGAAACACAACAATGAACACAACAATGAACCTCCAAGAGTGCAGGTCTCACATGAAGATGAGGATGCCCTCGCCGACATCCATCACACACTGACCGCCCAAACCCATCCGGATCCCAAGTATCCGGAACCGCATTCCTCTTTTGATAAGTTCCTCGAGGAACAAGTCCAGGGCAAGAAACCAGCCAACCTCGGCGCCTGTTTCCAATCCCTCTCAACCTGGGGGGATGAGGACTCCCATGCAAATGTAAAGACTGTCGCTACAGCTCTGTGGCGGACCTTCACCTTACAGGATATCTACGAATGGACGATCCAGCCATGGATCGCAAAGAAAAAGCCCGAGCATGGGCGTCCGCTGATTCGGGACTTTTCCGGCGTCGTGCAGAGCGGGGAAATCATGCTGTAAGCAGGAAAATCACCTCCAACCTATCCTTAACTGAATTTAACCTGATGGAATTATATAGCGTTCTGGGCCGTCCTGGTGCCGGCTGCTCGACCTTTCTCCGAACTATTGCGGGTCACCACTCTTCTTTTCTGGGTGTTACCGGCTCAATCGATTACTCTGGTCTTAGCCCCGATGAGGTTAGGAAGCACTATCGTGGCGTCGTGGCTTACGTCCCCGAGGATGACGTGCATTTCCCGACCCTGACCGTGCGCCAGACGCTTGAGTTTGCACTGCAGAGTAAGACCCCCAAGCGCTATCGGGAGAGGATTCCCCGGTACCTGGAGATCTATGGGCGTGTTTTTGGGATGTCCCATACCATGAACACCTTGGTGGGAAATGAGTATATCCGCGGTGTGTCTGGAGGAGAGCGCAAACGTATCTCTATCATTGAATCTCTCGCTACCGATTCATCGGTAGCATGTTGGGATAATTCCACCAGAGGACTGGATGCGTCCTCCGCACTCGACTATGCACGCAGTCTGCGTATCATGACTGATACCTGTGGCAAAGCAACCTTGCTCACCTTGTACCAGGCCTCAGATGCAATCTACGAGCTGGTGGATAAGGTGCTGCTCATTGATGAGGGCCGCATGCTATACCAAGGACCTGCGAACGAGGCGAAGCGTTACTTCGAAGATCTGGGCTATGAATGCGCTGATATGCAGACGACTTCGGATTTCCTGACTAGCATCACCCTGCCTGAAAGACGGCGGTTCCGTGCTGGATGGGAAAGCCGCGCGCCGAAGGGCCCCATCGAACTTGAGGCCGCTTTTCGCCAGAGTGCTGCGTTCGCTAATATCGAGACGGCCGTCGAAACCTATGAAGATCAGAAGCTCGCCGGTCGGTCTTCCCACCCGGCGGATTCGGAGTGCGATAGCGTGGAGGAATTCAAGAAGACCATGCAGAGCGATAAGTCACGCTTTGTCTCGTCCAAGTCATCATATACGATTTCGCTCTTCCGACAGGTCGTTCTTTGCGCGAAACGACAGATGTGGCAGCTGAAAGGCCATATGGGCCCGCTCTACATCAAGTTGATTTCCTGTGTGATCTATGGGTTGTTGATTGGATCTATGTTTTACGATCAGCCCCAGACCACCGATGGTATGTACTCTCGCGGAGGTGTGCTCTTCTACTCTTCTATTTTGCTTGCCTGGCTGCAGATGTCGGAGTTGGAAGACGCCATGCAGGGTCGAGATATCCTGAGCCGACAGAAGAAATTCGCGTTTGTGAGGCCCAGCGCTGTGTGTTTGGCCCGAGTGTTCTCAGATATGGTGACAACTACGCTTTTGACGTTCTTATATTTGATTGTCATGTACTTCCTGTCCGGTCTACGGTCTGATGTGAGTAATCCCGGAATCTCACTGCAAATGTAGACGCGCTAACCCTTCCAGGCTGGTCCCTTCTTCATCGACTACCTCTTCATTTACATGTCCACGATCTGCCTGACGGCGCAATTCCGTGTCTTCGCCGCTCTATCACAGAACTTTGAAGTGGCCCTCCGCTACTGCGGAGTTTCTGTTATGTTCTGCATTGTGTTCGGCGGTTACGTTCTCTCCGTCGATAAGATGATTCAAGATGTTCCTTGGGTTGGATGGTTGGCCTATACAACCCCTGCCCTGTATGCATACGAATCAGTCATGGCGGCAGAATTCCACAATATTAACTTTACCTGCGCGGCCGCATCCATTATCCCATCCGGTTCGGAATATACGGACCTCGCATACCAGACCTGTGCCTATGCTGGTAGTCAGATTGGGAGCACCGTCGTGAACGGCGATGACTATCTAGCCGTGAAGTATGGATTCTACTACAGTAACGTCTGGCGCAATTTTGGGATTCTGTGTCTCTTCACTGTTGCCTTCATTGGAATGACTTGCTGGTTGAGTGAGGTGCTTGAGTGGGAGCTGGACAGTGCTGGTCCAATCCAGTACACGAGCTCGCGGAAGCTGCTCAAGCGGGAGAAGAAGGTTCAGTCTGATGAAGAAAAATCGCCGGTCTCCGTTGATTCTGCCGCGCCGCCTGCTGGTTATGAAACAAAGCATGACCAGACACTCACAGCTACCGAGTCTACCTTCTCATGGTCTGACTTGGAGCTCAATGTGCAAATTGGCAAGGAGACTAGGAAAATATTGGATGGCGTCTGTGGATACTGCAAGCCAGGGTCTTTGACTGCTCTTGTTGGTGCCTCTGGAGCAGGCAAGTCTACATGTAAGCTCCCCAATGAAACGACTTCATTGCTTGTCTTCTGACAATTTTTAGTGTTGACTGCGCTCACCCAAAGAGAGAGCCCCGGCACTTTATCCGGGTCTCTATTTGTGGACAACCGGTCAGTGGACCAATCCTTCAACCGACAGATCGGATATTGCCAGCAGATGGACATCCACGACGAAAGCAGCACCATCAAAGAAGCATTCGAGTTCTCTGCATTGCTCCGTCAAAACCACGAAGTTCCAACGGCGGAAAAGCTGGCATATGTGGAAACCGTGATCCACACATTGGACCTGGTTGAATTGCAAGATGCCGTGATCGGTTCTTTGGACATCGAGAAGAAAAAGCGTGTTACTATTGGGGTGGAACTGTGCGCTCGACCAACCCTCCTTCTTTTCTTGGATGAACCGACAAGTGGACTCGACAGTCAGGGCGCAACTAGTATCGTCGCTCTGCTTCGACGTCTGGCTAACCAGGGACTGGCGGTCCTCTGCACTATCCATCAAGCTAACCAGCAGCAATTCGAAGAGGTAAGCACCTACCACCCTGATCATGAATCAATGCTAACAAGATTCAGTTCGACCGTGTCCTAGCTCTGAGCCCTGGCGGAAGCACATACTACTTCGGCCCAGTCGGCGAATCCGGCCGCGCGATCTTCGAGTATTTCGCGAGACACGGCAACATCCCGGAAAAGATCACCAACGCAGCCGACTTCCTTATCGAAGTAGTCGTCGGCGGCATGAAATCCTCGGGAAAGCAAACGAACTGGGCAGATATCTGGCGCAACTCAGAAGAATTCGCCGAAGTTAAGAATGTAATCGCCTCCATCCGCTCCGACAAGAACACCCACGCTCCTTCCCTGCCTCCAAGCCTACCCCCTCTCAGCCAGCAGATCAAACTCCTCACTCAACGGACCTGTCGCCAGTATTGGCGCACCGCTGAGTACCCATACTCGCGTCTTTACTCTTCCTTCCTCCACGCTCTTATCAACGGTCTCACCTACCTCCAGATCGGAAACAGCACCACAGACCTCCAGTCGAAAGCTTTCTCCTGCTTCCTTGTCCTGATGCTCGTCCCCGAATTTATCAACGCTATATCTATGCGTTTCATCCTGAACCGCGATATTTGGTTAGCAAGAGAAGGTCCGAGTGGCGTATACGGCTGGGTAGCATTCTGCACATCCCAGATCATCTCCGAGATCCCCTACTCCGTCTTCGGCGGCGTAGTATTCTTCGTCATATACTATTTCATGGTGGGATTGCCACTCGGCTTTGCAGCTGGATACTGTTTCCTGATGTTCTTCCTTTTCTTCCTATTCGCGACCTCGTGGGGTCAGTGGATCGCAGCTCTGAGGTGAGTTTAATATAGCCCAGCACCATTTATTTCCTGTGGTGATCTGATCAACTAACATATTTTTGTCAATCTGTAGCGCCGACTCAATGATCGCCGCTACCCTCATGCCCTTCTTCATTATCATGTGCGAGCTCTTCAACGGTATCCTCCGTCCGCAATCCCAGATGCCTGCCTTCTGGAAGTATACGATGTACTATATCACGCCGTTTACATACTGGATTGGTGGTGTGCTTACTTCTGTCCTCCGTGGTACTGCTGTTGTCTGCTCCCAGACGGAATTGACCATCTTTGAGAGCCCGCCCAACACTACTTGCAGTGAATATGCGGGTGTATGGCTTGATGCGAAGGGTGTTGGGTACCTCTCCAACCCAGATGGGATGGGTGAGTGCGGATATTGTGAATATAGCTTTGGTGATGATGTGAGTTTTGTCCCCTGGAACCTGGTTTGTTTTGCCTGGAATGGATGCTAACCTGTGTTTGTAGTACTTGTCTGGAATCGGTCTGGATTCTTCGAAGATCTGGCCGTATTTTGGTATCTTCCTTGCTTTTACCGTGACAAATTACTTGATGGTTTACTTGCTGGTTTATGTGCGGTCTGTTATGAAGCCGTTTTGGCGGTCGAAGTAGGGATTAGTTGGATGACTTTCGGTATTTTCTTTGGCTTGGGATGTACATTTTCTCATAGCGTTGCATATGTACCGGATAATACCTGGCACTCGAGACCTTTCCCTTTCCGTTTTAGTGCTCATCTCTTGCCGCTTTTTGATCACTGAGTAAAACTGAGCACGTCCCTGAGTATTCTGACTTGATCACGGACCATTACATAATTAACGTGATCTGCTCACTGAGCATCACCTGATCATCCCTGAGCAACCTGATCCACTCACTGATCATCATCTGAGCACTCTGATTCGCTCACTGAGTGCTCACTGAGTGTAGGGATGTTGATGAGATCGACTACCTTGAGCTTACTATGAGAGTCGAATGTGGAAAGGTCGAATGGGCTCCGCGCAAGGTTGCTCAACTTTCGCCGACCCTCTTTCAGGGTCTCTTTCTTCACAACGAGCCTAGGAGAAAAGAGAAACGTTCAAGCTGTTCAGAGAATCTTGACGTGCAATAGTGGTATAGTAATTGAAAAGCATGCCGGTTTGAAGGTCTAGTTGAGCCCTTATAGCCCTTATATAGTCGCTTGATCATGTGTAGGGCCATAGCAGACGCGCGGGGTTAAAATTATCTAGAGCCACTGACTCCCAGGACGGGTGATTGCGCTCCTGGGAATGCAAGGGCTCCTGGGAGCCATCTAGCGCGCCCTGGGAGCTAAGATAACCTGCACCACGCAGCAATCACCCTAAGGGTGGGAGACACGGTATACAATGGGATATGTATTGTGTGTGAGAAGAATAGCAACGAGGTTTAATAATATCATTGGTTTGTTGGCTGCCTTCAGCCAGGCCACCTAGACCTCGAATATGTGCTACACATTATTTTCCAGCGGCGTTGCTAAGCTCTTCCAGGATAGCTGTCAGTCCATCATCTCCTGAGAACGGCACTGCGTCAACTTCACAAATCGTGTTGGGCTCGGGCAGAGTACCGTCACTAAAGTACGCCATTATCGCCTTGATAGTACACAAAGAGCCTTGTGAAGTTATTGTGTGCTGAAACCTCCCCGTTAGAGAATCACGATAGAACTAAGTAACGCAATGGGACGTTAAACTTACTCCATAACCTTCCTGTTCAAGCACCACGCTTCCCTCAAAACCCTCACTCATCTTCTTGGCTGAGACGAGCGGTGTGTTGGGGTCATTTTGGGTGCTTACCAGTAGAACTGGGCTCTCAGTCTTGATCCTAAAGTCTCCAGTGTACTGCTCCTTTGCCGGCATTCCCCAGCGGGCACATTGCAGCGCGCTAAAGTCGACAACGTCGCCACCAATCTTGCTCAGCTTCGCCCGCGCGTGGACACCGGGGAGCGCATCCTCAAGAGTCTCCAGAGGACTCTGGTTGTCGCTACACTTGATCCCCAGGCTAGCCTCAGCGCCTGGGGTTGCCGGCAGGGGGGCCACGAGGTCAGTAAGAATGCCCGTGATGTTTCCGGAAAACATGACGTCGAGCTTCTCAGCTAGCCTGGGCCACGTTGCGGGGAAGTAGAGGGCATTGTAGATTGTCCCCTTGATGGCTGCATAGTCGACGATGTATCCATGGCCATCCACCGAGACGGGGATAGGCTCGGACTTCAGCGCCTCCATCGCCGCATAAATGTCTTCTTCAAGCTCTTCGGCTGTACGATTGCCAGCGATAGGGCAGATATCCTTTTTATCGACGCATTGGGAGCAGAACCCGGAAAAAGCGCTATCTGCATCCGTGACCTGGCCCACATTACTATCAGAAAATATATCTTAGCCCGAATCCTGTACAATTATCGTCTCCAGGACGGAATGAGAAGCCGGCGTACATATGATAGTATTCTTGCGCATCCATGACACCATCCAGGAGAACCTTGTCAATCTTGTCCGGGAACATAGCAATTAGCGTCGATCCGAGAACCGTTCCGTACGACTGGCCTAAGGAATTGATGAGTCCAAAGAGTCTATGGTAAATCCTTTGCAAGTGAATGGGACTTACCCCACAATCTCAGTTTTCCGTCTTCCTCAAGAGCATCAACCACGTTCATTATGTCCCTAGCTGTGAATGCCGTCCCGACAAGTGCACCAGTCTCGCTCTGTGCGTGAGTGCAAGCGTCTGCTTTGTTCTTAACCTCAGCCCAGACCTCTCCAAGAGAAACATCAGAGGCATTTGTAGCAACAGGGGCCCTCAAGTTCGATCTTATTCGTTCCTCTTTATCTGTGTAACAGGAGAACGGGAGGGTGCTGCCAGTTCCTCTGTAATGTGGTCATTAGCTCTATTCTAATCGTCCAAGATTTAATCGTTCTATGCTCACCGTGGTACCACATTGACGATGTCGTATGAGCCTCCGACGAATCTATCCCAGTCTAGGTGAGCTTCCGTCGAAACAATGCCATACGATAGATTTCACATACACACTCAAGACAGACCCCATCAAGGACATCTCAGCGATACCACTGGCTCCTGGTCCGCCAAAATTGAAAAACACGCTTCCCTTCGAGGGTTGATTTGGCGCAGGAGCCCTTAAGATCTGAAGGTCGAGTGTTTTACCGGAGTCAGGCTCGGTGTAATCCAGGGGAACAGCCAAACTACCACATTCTAACTCCGTTGTACCGTTCACGCCGAGGTCGCCACAGGATTCCCACTGAATCTTGCCATAGTTCCGAGTGTCATGAAGAGAAGCTCTTGAGTCTGATGGTGCGGCGGCAGCACAGGCCACAAAACCAAGGAAATACGAAAACATTAATTTCCACATTCTCATAGCAACGCACAGATTATAGTAACAAAGAAAAAGAGATATTTGCCGAGAAAGTGCTGATGGAATTGGAATTGGAATTGGAATTGAGATATGCGGAGCGGTCTTTAAATAACATTCAAGTAAGCCAAGTGACTTACCTAGGTACAGTGAACACTGGCGCTGCGCCTCGTCTATGATGCAAATTACATATGGAAATACCGTGCAAAATCCTATTTTGCTTCTGCTTCTGCTTCTGCTGCAACCAGTGTGATATCGCTGATACTTTCTGATTGGTTGGCCCGTACGGGGCTGCCTGGAAAGTTTATAAGCAGCGCAACAATATTCCCTTTTCAGCCGTGGGGGCACAATGCATTCAAGTTGTTGCCGAGCCTGGCACAGTCGCGGCGATGAAATTTTGGCCACTGTAGCTACTGCTTTGACTGGTTGCTCCCGTTATTTATGCGCTGTGGTAATAATTGAGCGCTGCAAACTTCCTTATTAGTTGCGCATGACGTTTCAACGTCTTGGGTCTTTCTGGTTACTAACAATAGAGATGCATTAAAATACGAATGATATAAAAAGCGATCTATATCGAGTACTAGAGCCCTTCAGAATAAATGTTCACGCGCTCAAAAATCAATAATAATCCTTCCGATATCCAAGAACAATACATTCCGATTTTTTGTTTGAGACTCGAGTTCGATCTTTTGACCAATCATATTTAGATTCAACTTACCAGGGCTGGGTTGGTACTAGCTAGATGGCTATCGTATTTGCAATGACTAACTTGACACTCAGAACGTTTACCATTCAGTCACTGCCCAAACCACTGGTAATCGCACTTTGTACCTAGGTATCAGTCATCAACTAAATCTCCGGCTTTCAAAATGTGCTTCGGGTCCAGCAAAGACTCCGACCCTTACTGGTGGGGATATATCGACGATGGCCAGGGGTGGACCGCTCGCCGCAAGTCAGAATACATGAAAACTCCAGAATATAATTCTCAGCTTCGTCGCCAGTTACGCCAGGAGAAAAAGGATCGCAAACGTTGTCCGGTGCCACAAAGCGCATATCGAAGCAGACACTACTAGTCGGCCATGAACTAGTGTATTACAGCTAGATGGACTGGGGGTGGCGAGCTTCCTCTAGGCGACTCTGCATATTATGTCTTTTAAAAAGGATCAATACATTGTCGTGGAGGGGAAAAGATAGAATTGAATTGGCTCCCAGTGGAAGCTTCCAGCAACTACTTTGTAGAGTTCAACTATGTCCAGAGAGGCTATTACTTTCCATTCTTGAATCAAAACCTGCCCCTCACAATATCATCAGCAATTTCTTCTGCTTCTTTTTTTTTGGCATTAGATTCTCGGGGCATGAGAGTCAGTAAACATTTATTTATAGACGGACAATTGATGATCCGATCGTAGTAGGCCAGTTCAAGACTCTGGATCTTGATGTGTTCTCTCAAAATCAAATTCCCAAGGGTCGGTCGGTGACAGAGCGGGTTCATCTAATCCACATACTAAGATGAGGATGATCAAGTGACAGTTGACTATCAAGGATGCGTTTTTATTGGAGAGTCGCGAAGAATACTTTGTGTTGATAGGTTTGTAGTGTGGCTGGAGATCATACGTAAACCTCTATTTAATGTTTTTGATTTTCATGCTGAACTTGAAATTTCATCCAATGTTTTGATTGATCTCAATTTTACAATTAAGAAAGCTTACTAATAAGTATATATAGTAGAGATTGAGATGAGAAGATTGATGTGCTCTCGAGCTAGAGCCTGATTGTCTGATAATATCCATGCGCTGTAGCCGACATCGCTGAAAATTAATGTAGCCGCTTGTTCGAAAATAGCTTGATGATCTCGAGGGACACAGACTCCGAATACAGCTTCATCAAGTAGTCTGCCAATACCGCTTCGGAACTTTTCATCACAAGCAAGATTTGTGGCAGCAGCCCGACCCAGAAGGTTCAGCTCATTGGGGAAGAAATTTTGTTCATTGGCATACTGGAAAAGGTACGGGTCGCTACTCAGAACATGCACAGAGACTCGCGTGAAAGATCTGCGTTACCAAATACTCTTCGCCGGACGGGCTCCGCGTTATCAAGTCTGCCTCGCAAGGGGACGCTGCGCTACCAATTGAGACCCGCAGGAGAGTGCTGCGTCAACAAGTTCTCCCTCGCAACCAATGAGCCCTGTGTTGTATAATCTTGAGCTTCCATGCAGCCTTGAGCCCTGAGTTATCAAATTTGTGCTCATTAGGCGACCCGTGGCGCCGCGGTCCTCGTCCTGATTCTCTGGCGATTGCAGGCACCTCTTCGTGGTGTCAGAGACTAGTATTCGGGTCCGTCTGAGACCTCGAAGAAGCCAATACCTGCTCCAAACAATCAATAGACATCAAGGATCCAATAAGACATGGTGTGAAATGACTTGAGTATTGTATGTAGACGCCACCGTGCATGACTCTGGTTCGAACAATGCACTTCACGCCCTGGGCTTCGAGAATGGACATTCACTTCCACGTAGTGTGAAGTAGAGCATCGAGTCATGGCTGGAAGCGGGGAGGCCGATTCGGTGGGGACGGAAATCCAAACTAGTCTCCATTGCTGTGAATGCTTGTCTCTGCTGGCCCGCAGTGGCAGCAGGATTTGTCCAAATGTGGGGAGATGCGGAATTTCGACGGTAAGTGGGTGGTGTGACGGTGTGTTGATGGTGTTGATATTTTGATGTGTTGACGTGTTGATATGTTGGTTTGTTGATGGTGAGGGCTGGAGGTGAGTGACAGGTACGTATAGGTACATATATACATCAAAAGTGAAGCCTGTCAATTTGCTATAGTACTATATTGTTGACTTTGGGTTGATATATCGTTAAGCTTATGTAATAAACCTGATGCCTGATTTTCAAGCTTTCCACAATCGCCACGTGACTTTGTCTCGACTTTCATCTTTGGATCTTCCCCGTCCACAGAGGGGGTCCACGGGGGAGTATCATTTGGTTTGGTTTGGTTTGATTTGTTCTAATTCAGTCAAATTTAAGCGAAATATATGCAGGTCTTACGCTGAATCCGCAATGAGTCACATATTGGCAAAGCTTGAGTCGGTTATCAATCAGCATCTTTCGGAGATAACTTGACCACTACCGGAAAGGGTATATCCGAGACCGGACATGCTGGATCGAGTAAGCAGCCTCCCAACCTTGGAAGGTCGAGATCCTACGAAGTACATATAAGTCAATTAAGCCCTCGTGTCACACCTTTCAAAAGGCCATCTGTTAACTGTCACAGAGACACATATTTTCGGACGAATACATGTGTTACCAGGTAGTCCGGAAAAGCGCCCCCAATCTCTGAGAAGGCACCAACGTCTCACCCATGTCTAGCGCCGGTGCAAGGACTTGCGAACAAAGAAAAATCAATTTGAAATTAAAATCCCCTGACCACTGTGAAAATGGAGAATCATCACCATTTCTCTCCAGATCAGGAAGAGACAGAAAATCAATCTCGCGCTCCACAGCGTCGTCGTCGCCCGCCTCTGTCTTGTACAGTCTGTCGCAAGCGCAAATTAAAATGTGACCGCTCTCTGCCTTGCGGGCAATGCGTGCGTTCAAAGACGACAGCCCAATGTGTCTTTGTTGGAGCCCAACCTAGTGTGTCTGAATCTTCTCAGCGACGTATGTCGCCCCCGCAATTACCATATGGCGTGGAAGAGCAGTCGGGGCGAAAAAGCGGGATGTTCGTCTTCGACTCGAAATTGGGGCCGAATTCGACTTCAAATCGCGTTTCCAAGCGTGGTCATTCCGATGAGCTTCATGAGCTCCGGACTCGGTTGCGAGTTCTGGAGAATTCGCTCGGCAAGTCGTCTCATCTGCAGACGCCGGAGACGTCGGTCTGTGATGTCTTCTCTGAAGTCGATACAGCTAATAGTTCTGAATATGTCGGTGTTGATGACCGCGTGCGATTCTTGCCGGATTCAAGTTTCCGCGGGAAGAAGGCTAAGACTCGTTATTTCGGTCGCAGTCATTATACCACTACGCTTTCTTTCGTGAGTATCCTTCACAACATATTGTATGATTGATTTGCTAATTGAATGTAGTTCCAAGAGATTGGTGTCTTTATGCGCCGTTCTCGTTGTCGTGGAGAAGGAAAAGATAAAGAGTACACTGACATGAAAAAGTTCAAGACAGAGCTTTGGTCGCGCGAAACCCAGGATCATCAACAAAATTTCCGGGAACAGGCTTTCAGCCTGAATGAAATGGTTCCTCAGCGAAATGTTGCAGACCATCTGCTTCAGCTGTACCTCGACACTTTCGAGATGACATTTCGAATCCTGCACATGCCAACCTTTTTGAGTCAGTATGCTGATTACTGGGCCAACACCCAGCCAGTTGACATGGCTTTCGTCACTCAGTTACTCGCCGTGATGGCTGCTGGCAGTTGTTTCTATGTCCCACCTCCAGGCCAAGACGACCGGGACATATTCCAGAAACCGGCCATGAAGTGGATTATGGCTGTTCAGTCATACATCTCGTGCACATTTGTGAGCCCGGAGATCAACTTCCGAATGCTCCAGACCCAGACTCTTCTACTGGTAGCTCGCCTCGGAGTCGCCAGTGATGGGGATGTGGCCTGGGCCTCAGCCGGGTCGCTGATTCGGTCTGCGATGACGATGGGTCTGCACCGTGATCCGACTCGTTTCCACAAGGCTCGACCATTCTATTCTGAACTGCGCCGTCGCCTCTGGGCAACTATCGTCGAGCTGGACCTCAAGATCTCTCTCGACCGCGGCGTTCCGCCGTCAGTTGACCTAGACGAATGTGACTGCGATCCACCGTCCAACTGGGACGATGCGGACTTGATACCGGACATGGAGAATAATCCTGCTCCGCTCAGTACTGCCCTTTATACCCAAAACTTTTACCAAGCTCTCCTCACCAAGACCCTCCCGTTACGCTATCGAATCGCCAAAAGAATAAACGCTCTCCGTTTCAATCTATCTTACGACAAAGCCCTCCGAATGGGTGATGAACTCTCCCGTTCTATGCAGCATGCATCCTCTCTATTTGACGACAACGCCCTCAGTATCGCTCCGGGAGAATCAGAACGTCACCGATTCGCCCAATCCCTCCATCTCTTTATCATGCGCAAATTCCTCCTCGCCCTCCACCGCCCTTTCTCACTCAGTGTAGCTCGCCTACCCAAATGCTCTTACTCCCGCAAAATCTGCCTCGAAGAATCCCTTGGCATTCTCTCCCAGATGGAACTCCCTCTCTCGACGGACGATATCCTATACCCACATATCAACCAGCTGGGCAGTGGTATGTTCCGCGATGAAACCTTTCACGCTGCAATCACCGCCTGCGTGGAGCTGTCCCTCCAAGCTAATGAAATGAGTACGTCTGCTACATCCGGGATGGATGGTGTCAATTCCAGCGTGCTCATGAGCATGGTCCAGTCCCAGCAAAACGTGATGATGCAGGCTGTCGAGCGCACCGCTGAGAATTTCGGGACACGCATTGGCCCCGATGGGAGGGGGTGCAAGCCTTGCTTCTTTCTGAATATTATCATCGCTTCGGTCAAATCACGCATCAAGGGTGAGGATCCTATGTGTAATGTTGATACGGCCTCGAAGAGGTCCGTTCGCATTTGCAGGGAGATCCTGAATGGTCTTACGTATGAGGAGGCTAAGATTATTGTTGATAATCGCCCCGTTCAGGTTGGTATCCCCACTTATAGATGTGTGTCTACCATACCTAATCACGTTCCTGTTCAGACTTCCTTTCCTTCGAGGACAACCCCGGCCTCGGCCACACCGAGTGATATTGATCCTGCATCACTTCTATCGACCGACTTTAGTGATTTTACGGTAAGTTCTTCTTCCTCGGATATTGTTTAGGGCTGTGCTGACATTTTCCAGCCAATGGATCCAGGAGGTTGGTTTGATGGATTGGATTACACTGGCCCGGAGTTGTGGGATTGGGATGCCGGTTTGTCTAGCAACCTTCCGACATTCTCATGAATTATGTATTCTTTAATGTTAATGACAGCGCTTGATGCCCTGTGACTTTGTCTCTACTCCTCTCCTTCTCAAACTGCACTCTCATGGCCAACTAGATATTATTATTTTGTCAGAATATGTTGTTAGAACAAGAATACAGCCGTTCGAGGCCATGATACCCCGGCACTTCCTATAACAATATACGATTTCGATGTATTTGAATATTAATCAGAACAACAAGTAACCATCTGCAACCTATATCATCTATAGAACAACAAGCCAAATCAAGCGCTCAAATCCCCTCTATTCCTTTCCCAATTTCCTGATTGACAATCCGTGAAGAAACCCGATCGACATACTTCTTCCTCGAAATCGAAACATAACTCTGAACCAACCTATTCAATCACAAAGATCAGCAAAAACCCCTTCATAGATCAAGCCCAAAAGAAGTATGTATACTCACGCCTGATACCGCTGAATATTCCGAATCTCCACACCGGCCAAATCCCCCAGAGCATCCTGCACATCCCGCACCAGACTCACACACCGTCCCATACTGAAATCCGTCCTGACAACAGCCCTCATCATCCCCATTTCCGTACAATCAGCTGCCATAGTGTAGGCAGGCACAATCCACCCTCTTTCGCGCAGTTTCCGGGCAAGCGCCCATTCGTCAAAGATGACGTTCTGCGTCGGACTCAATCTGAATGCCACGACTGGTAGACCCTGTCCGTTCCCTTCGCTCATGATTATAAATCCCATTTCTTCTAGTTGGCTGGTGAGGTAGTCGGCTGTTTTCGTGAGGTTTCTCATAATACTGGTGTACCCGCTTCGACCGAGTCGGATGAGTTGGTAGTACTGGGCTATGATGTGGGATGCTGGTTTGGAGAAGTTCATCGTGAAGTTCAGTTGCTCGGAGCCGAGGTAGTCGATGTTGAAGACTAGGTCTTCAGGGAGGTATTCTGGTGATCGCCAGAGGGCCCAGCCGATTCCCGGGTAGACCTATGCAGATTAGTTATACTGAGCTGTATTGGAGTTGTCGGTGATTAATGAATGAATGTTCTTACCAGTCCGTATTTATGTCCAGAGACATTGATCGAGACGACGTTGGGTAATTTGAAATCCCATACTAGATCCGGGTTCACGAACGGAGCCACGAATCCTCCGCTGGCGGCATCTACGTGAATAGGCGTGTCCAGTCCCTTTTCAAGGAGAAGTTCACTGATAGCTTGTACATCTTCGTACTGACCCGTGTACGTCGTGCCGAGAATCGCGCAGATTCCAATGGTGTTCTCATCAACCATGTCGACTGCTAGAACTGGGTCAATCACGTATCGCGTCTCCGTACAGGGGACTAGCTTCTCGGCGATATCGAAGTATTTGGCTGCTTTTTCCCAGCATACTTGTACTCCGCTACTCATGATGATGTTTGGATTGGAGGCATCTTTCCCCTGGGATTTGCGGTTGGCTTCCCAGCGTTTCTTCATTGCCAATACTGCGAGCATGATGGCTTCGGATGATCCAATACATGACGTGCCAAAGGCGGTTGGATTTCCTTTGGAGACTGGGGAGTGAAATAGGTCGGCGAGGATGTTCAGACAGCGGTGTTCGATTTCGACGGATTTGGGATATTCTTCATGGTCGATGACGTTCTTATTTGATGATTCGGCGAGGAGTTTGAGGGCTTCATCTTCCTATTATCGTGTTAGTGTCGGTCAACTGAGAAGATGAGAAGTCGAAATACCATGTATGTGGTCACAAAACTGGCAAGGCTATAACAATATGTCAGTACTGTTTTGGGATAATTGAAGAATATACTCACTTCAAGATTGGCTGACCATCTAGGGCCAAGTCATCTTTGATCATCTGGTACGCCACCTCTTTTGGCATCCCTCCGTCCGGAAGTTGATGCGATGGCAAGGCCATTGTGGCAAATCGGGTGCCATAGACATAAGTGCAGTCGCTCGTCCGGTCAGAAAGCGACTTGGATAACCCTTCTATAGAACCCATGATGCAATGAAATGATGAGATATGTAGATTCAAACTGGAATACTGGAATTGGAATACTGAAATACTGATCAACTAGCCAGACTGTCTTGATTTTATATTCTTTCTCACAAGTCGTTGCATGCTGGAAAAATATCTCATATCTAAATCGCGTGATAGAGCTATGAGGTATTTCCGGACATCATGATCTGCGCTTTGGTAAAAAGGGGGCTTCCACGCTGTTTCAAGTTGGGCTCTGCGTTTTTTTTTTTTGAGTTTGAGGCATCTAGATGACAACATGATGGACAGCCCAACACGGATCTCATGGTATACTCGAATCTATTTACTCTGTTTACTCCGTATCTATATCTGGGTACCAGGGGGAACCTACATGCTCCACTTAAGACATGCCAAGACCTTCTAGAAGACATTGGCATCGTGATATTCCAACGGGTTGAAACTATTTCCGATACAGATATGGTAGAATTGGGAATGATCCTTGCTATCACCCCTGGTTCTAAAATTGGAGTATATTGGGCCTGGATTGCAGGGCGCTTATAATACAAAATACATACGCCGTGCTCTGTGCTCCGTTCTAAACATGCGATTTATTCACTCAACAGGTTTCTCTCTCTTAATTAGCCCCTGACTACCTCCCACCTTCTCGGGTGGGCCGTTCCGAAGGGAGAATGGGGGTGGCGCGGCACAAAAGAAATGTACTTTTGTATTGATCAAATGCTGTTGTAGTATGTCAGGCAGAAGGATATTGGCGATAGGGCTAAGATGTTGAATGGTATAAATTCATTTTACTGTTATGATATCTAAAAGTCACACGCATATCCTATCATCTCCTCTTTTTGTGAGACTGGAACTTATAGCATGTATGTCATATAAGAGTTATAGAGTACACATAAAATGCACGCACAATTCCGGTTATATATTGCATCGACCCTTTTTGCATGGAAATCTAGCGAGTACAACAGTTGTTGTAGGAGATAAAGCAAGATGAAGCAAATCTATGTCTGCCTAATACGTTAGGCATAAAGTATTTGCCTAATAAATCAGGCATCAATACCTTTACCATTTCTCACATTCGCCACATTCGCTACATTCGCCACATCTACTCCACATCTGATCCGGTGGGCTGACTGTGCATCCGGTGGGCTTGAACATACTCGTGTAAGTTGTGTTCACAGGGCAATTCTTTTTTATTTCAGCTCTCTAGTGATTGAACATGCCCCAGTTTCAATGTCAAGTACCCGGCTGTACATCCACCTACCGTCGTAAAGAACATCTCCGACGCCACGAAGCGCAACATCGTGGAAGTCATCTTCGAACATGTTCTATTTGTGACCGCGTCTTTTCTCGCAGGTAGAGTGATCTGTGAAATTCAGACCTGCTTCATTTAATAATGAACAATTATACAGTGACAGTCTTCGGCGTCATACTCGTCGTGATCATGAAGACCCCGGACGCTCTCTCGCTCGTGCCACACAGGCCTGCATAAGATGTCGTACGACAAAAGCACGGTGCCAGGGAGGCTCACCATGTACAGAGTGTTCCTCAAAGGGGCATTTGTGTCTTTTTAATGATCCAGTCCACCTCGAGCCTGCTCAACCAGATCCAGAAGAAGAACTTTGGGAGTACGGTAGTGGAGATGATCGGATCAATACTCCCATCGGGGATATCGCACAAGTGGACCATTACATACATCTTTACTTCACGCATTTTCATCAACATTGGCCAATCCTGCATCGACATACCTTCAGTGTTGCTGACGAGCCCCAATTGCTGCTTCAGGCAGTGATAATGATCGGTCTCTGGGTTAGTGGGAGCCCGGCGGCGCAAGAAGGTGCTCGGAACTTACACTCCAAACTAAAACTAGCGATCTTGGCACAGAAGGTAAGTCGCTCACAGGCAAAATCCTTTCAATTCATTAACCACTGGTGCGCAGGACAATTGGGCACGATCGCACGTGGAAGGAGAGCAAGACAACGAAGGGTTAGACAGCCCGAGCTCACGATGGCCGATTGCAACCTATCAAGGCATTCTTCTCTGTATCATATTCTCATTACTGTCGACCCCGATTGGTCTCGAACTTAACCTCGGCCTGGTCCAAAGTGTCTCCGATCGTCAACTCCTTTCCACTCTGGTCGCCACCTGTCTGCAAAACAATATCTTCTACTACCCTAATATGCTTACGAGATACCGAAATGTGGAATCCCTTACTTGTATGTGGGTGGGGGTTGAAGAAATCAAAAGGTTTGGATTGGCCTTGTACAAAGTCTCTCGGCTTTGTGGAAGGGGGAGTTTAGGGGAGTCTGATGAGACTGATAGTCGAGTTTTGCGCCTCTCCGATCTACAGTTCCCTATGCCAGACGAGAAGAGTCTCTGGGGTGCTAGTTCGAATCCGGAATTGGCTCGACGTCTGTTGATATACTCTCGAAGAGATAGATCAGATGATCCCAGCGTTACCGATTGGGTTTCTCAAAGTGGAAAGTTATTAGAAACTGACGAGAATTGGTGGAATTGAGTCAATGGAGAATTTCTGGCTTGAAGAAAGGTGTACTGTATTATATAGCCCCTGTTCATCAAATTGCTTTTTGTCACAATAGTCTCATTGCCTTGAATCTGGATTTTCTAAAGGAGCGGGACAAAGCCTAGGGAAGAAATAAAGCGAACCTCAAGAACCATACTATTCTACATTTTGTATCGCAATACTATTCTGATGATCAGTTTGCCGGTAATCAACTCATACAATATCTCGCAAAAATACTCTACAATGTGAGGAGTCTCTAATTTTATTCCAAAACATCTCACTTGCAGAAAAATGACGAGACCAGTTCAATATAGACAACAGTATTGAAATTGCTCATGTAACTTGTATATGAAATAGACCGATATCTAGTTGATCTCACTTTCAGAGACAATTGTAGCAAAGCCATCGGCCAATTCACTCAGAACCACACGGACGACAGTCTCCGCGTCGGCACCAGGAATGTGGCGATCGCCGACAGCATCACGCGCAACGACCACATCATACCCAAGTTCACTACCAGCACGGGCCGTGGTAGAAACGCAAACGTGCGCCATGTAGCCAACTAGGACAATCTTCTTGCCCACGTCTCCTAGTCCTTGCAGGTACTCATGAAGATCGGTCTGAGCAAAGGAGCTAGGGAAGTTCTTTGTGACCACTTTCTCGTTTGGCTTGGGTGTGAGCTCCTCGAATTCCTGTGCGAGAGCAGTGCTAGGAGTGAAGACAGGTGCACCGGCAGGTACTTCGTGCACGACGTGAACGATGTTCTTGCCGTTGCCTTGTCGGTATTTTTCAAGCAGCTTGGCAATGGCCTTGCGAGATTCGGCGACCTTCTCAACGGTGAGGAGGCCTGTGGCGTACTCGTTTTGAGCGTCGATGATGATCAGAGTTGAATCAGTAGTGGAGGCGGAGGAAGGGGGGATGCCGATAAGTTCACGGAAGGATTTGACGGAAGACATAGTGATAGATAGAGATGAGTGAGGTTGGAAGAATGATCAAGTATAGAAGTATGAACCCTTGCTCCAGATGTGATCTGTGGTGTGTTATATAAAGAGGGGCAATATAGTGGGGCCGGTGGGCTTTCCCCAGCCTTTCCAGCCCACCGGGTTTTTTACTAAGAAATAGTCTGGAGTTGGATTATATTACAAACAATAGGGGATAGTTAGTATTCAGTATTGATCCATCAATAAGCCCGGGAGTATCCGGGGATATATGCCCATATATCCACTTAATATCTTGAACTAGATAGTAACCCAATCTGTACGTATCTATCCTTATACTAACTAACTAACTAGTCTGGTCCATGTCAAGTGGGATAGCCGGGACCCTATTACATCATCCATGATCTTCCCCGGGGCCAGACGGGATACCCCGAAGAGCCTCGTTGGTAAGATTCTTAAGATTCTTAAGATTCTTATAGAGCTAAGTGACTCGCCACATATACATGAATGACCATAATCATGATTTGCCATAGATCTGTAACATCCACTAATGTACCGAAATACATCCGCCACACCAAACTACTCCGCATCGTTGCCGTATCCATAAAACCCTTTCTACAACATTTCACTACACAATTGATCCTCATTCATTGACCAACTATGTCCCCCACACTAGGAATCACCCATATTGGCACGGCCACTGCTATCCTTGAAATCAACGGCGTCAACTTTCTGACCGATCTCTTCTTTTCCCCTGCTGGTACCTTCTGGGATAAACATCCTCGAAGTGACAGAACACCCTGCTCTCCGTTTAGATCAACTTCCAGTGATTGATGCGGTGCTTCTGAGCCACGAAGATCACCCCGACAACCTGGACGAACTTGGTCGTCAACTCCTAGATGGGCGCCGTGTGTTCACCACCGTCGATGGTGGGAAAAATCTTAGTCCCCGTCCAGCTGTGCATGGCATGAAGCCATGGGAGGAGCTTGAAACCATTATCGCTGGAAAGAAGTTCAAAATCACGGCTACTCCGACTCGACACGTTCCTGGAGACGAGTGCGCCGGCTTCATTGTGACCGGGGACAATTTCGGAACTGGGCGTGACGGCCTTCCTAATGCAATCTATTTCAGCGGCGACACGGTCTACTTTGATGAATTAAACTCTATCGCGGGCCGGTATCACATCTGTGTAGCTGTGATGAATTTGGGCAACGCTCATGCCCCCATGACGGAGGACCCCGATAGCCCTCTCATGCAAATTACGATGGGCGACAATGATGGTGCAAAGCTATTCCGCGCCCTCAAGGTAGATGTTCTGGTTCCCATGCATTATGAATCCTGGGGGCATTTCACCCAGTTCAGAGATGAGCTACGCCAAGTTTTTCAGGCTGAAGGAATTAGTGAGAAAATTTGTTGGCTCACAGGTGGTGAGAAGATCAGAGTTCTTTGAATCTTGTTGTTATGGTGGTCCTTTAGAGAATTTCTTTTTCCTCGCTTCAAACTTGTTTTCATTCTGGTTTTCATCTTGGTGGATATATATTTGTTTAAACCTAGCCTTCCCATCAAACCACCATCTCACTTCCTTTATATCATTTTCAACTCCTTAGTAGCCTAGAAGTGCTTTCAAGGGCACTCTTTCCATCAAAGAAGTAGTATGAATTTCCACTCGAAACCCCACAGACTTTGATGAAGACCAGGTGCTCATCTTGTTCTTAACGAAATATTTACGAACGCGGTCTTGAAGAGGGTAAACACAAGGAATGCCAAGGGAATGTGAACCGGGTGAATCGTAAGGAAAGCCAGACCTGTCGAAGCGCCATGTCTCAAATCCTTACGCTAAGTTCGGTGAAACAGTGGAATAGGCACGGGCAATAACTACCATTATTATCTCTTTTCCAGCATATATGTTGTACTGATTGAAATAACTCCTTTCCCTGGCCAAGCTGTCGATACCCAAACCAAGATTAGGACGAGAAACTGATGGAGCTATCGCACTAAAAAATAGTAAAAAGGGGAGAAAACGAATGAAAGTGCAGTATTTTCATAGTGGACCTGTACTCCATAGGATGTGCGAGATCGGCAGAGAATGGTCTTGTACCTCGGCCCCTCTTAGAAACAGATCTCAACATAAAAAAAAAAAAGATTCGCTAGGCGAAACATCTCCAAAATTCTACAATCTCTGAGATTCAAGAATGTCGTGAGTGCTCAACTACACCAATAAGGGGGAAAAAAAAACCACCTAGACTAACCCTCACAGTGCCCTTTTAACAACACTCGGTCTCCGCGCCGCCCCTGGCCAGGTACCCGCGAACCACGCATCGGCCTTGCTGATGGTGAACTGGTTCTTCGCATACATTTTGACAAGCCCCCGAGGTGCAAAGGTCCGTCTAGGTCTTGATCACAATGTCAACCCGCGGGAGGACTTGACTACGTACGGCGAGGCGGCCGTGCAATCGGGAAAGATTACCCGTCGCGCCCTTGACCAGCTTAAGCGACAGACGTCGGCGCATGCCAATGTGCAGGAAGGGTTTACTTTGTTTGTTGCAGCGAGTATGTGAAAGTCCATTTTACTGGTTGGATTTATGATGAACCTCTTGTGAAATTGTTGCACTCTAGTACTGACCTCGCGATCTAGTCCTCGTCTCCTTGTACGCCGGTCTGCCCAATGAGACTATCAACACCATTGGTGTTTGGTATTCGGTTTCCCGTGTTGCCTACCACCTGTTCTATTTGAAAATCGAAACCCACTCTTTGAGCTTTCTGCGCTCGGCGGCTTGGTGGTCGGGGGAACATTAGCTGTCTTTATGCACTGGTGCAAGCCAGCAAGAAGTTGTGAGATATACAGAGAATTTTTTTGATTGTCGCCTAGTCTCCGAAGATATATGAACTGAACAATACAATACAAATGCATGTATTATCCGGGCACTGGGCGTTAGCCACCTTCATAATCACAATATCTAGCTCAAAATCAATACCCGGAAGGAATTGAGATCTTGAAAGATATACATGTCTGGAAAAACCAAACATTACCATCGTGAGAATGTTGCATGACGACCTGTTCCGCTGATTGGTGGAAGAATCCAACCCTCAAGGTATAGATCATCCCCAGACGGGGGAATGAATCCCGGTCATAACGATGAATTACAAAGCGTCGAATAAGAAGAATTCAATGTCAAAGCTCGCACCAGCTTGTCCCGACAGTCTCCCCACATCCCCGCATGTTAATACCCTCGGCCAAATGCGGAGAAATGACTCCATTTACGGTCTATACACCACTCCCGGTAACTCGCTCAATTGCCGCATTACACAGGCCCTGCCATGCAATCGTTTTTTACAGGCGGAGAAATCTCTTTCCTCTGACCGTGCCGTTGCCCGGACATTGGTAATCTGGGGAAAAGGAAGGCTTACAATGACCTCCATCCGGGGCATTCTTATAAATTAGCAATGCCTGCTTGACTCTCAGATCAACCCGACAGCATCAATTGATCTCATTGACCTCGCTACAATGAAGTTCCTCGCTATCGGTGCGCTTCTGCTCAGCACAGTCAGTGCTCTTGCCACAGAGCATATCATCAAAGGCGCCCAGATCATCCCGGCCAACGATAAGGCAGCATTGAAGAAGATCGGTGCTTATGGACATCACAAGCACGACGACCGTCGGACAGTGACAATCCGGTCATCGAAGAGCGATACCGATGATGTGGCAGATGATTTCCTTTGGGGTATTAAGACTGCCAACCATGGTGGCAGACTTCTCTTGCAAAAGGGGAAGACCTATATTATTGGCAAGAAACTTGACCTCAGCTTCTTGGATGATATCGAGGTGCAGCTTGAGGGTGAAGTGAAGGTATTTAGTCCCAATGCTGTGACTGATTGAACCGCTCTGACATGAACAGTTCACCGACGATATCGACTACTGGCAAGCAAACCACTTTTACTACTCTTTCCAGAAATCTATCACTTTCTGGGTTTGGGGTGGTCAGGATATCAAGATCTTCGGCAAGGGTACTCTTAATGGTAATGGCCAGGAGTGGTACAATGCCTTTGCCGGCCAGGAAGTTCTGGTGAGCATGACCCGGAAGAGAGTTGGGAATGACTTGTGCTAATAAATAATCTAGGACCCGGACAACACTTTTTACCGTCCTGTTCTATTCATGACTGACAACGCTACCCGCGTGTCTGTCGAAGGCATCACCCAACTCAACTCGCCCTGCTGGACCAACTTCTTCGTCCGCAGCAACGATGTCTCTTTCGATGATGTCTTTATCAACGCCTATTCCACCAACGCATCTGTAAGTCGTCCACCTGGTACACTATCGATCATACCTAACCCGTTCGCAGGCTTTGCCCAAGAACACCGACGGATTTGACTCCTTCAACGTCAACGGTCTCAGCGTGACCAATACCCGCGTCGATATCGGCGATGACTGCTTCTCACCCAAGCCCAACACAACCAACATTTTCGTGCAGAACCTGTGGTGTAACAATACCCACGGTATCAGCATGGGAAGTATTGGACAATACTCGGGAGTCGAGGATATCATTGAGAATGCCTGGATTGAGAACGTGACTCTTTTGAACGGCCAAGTAAGATACTCCCCCCATATCGATATATGAGCGATTGGTCCTAATCAGAATTCAAGAACGGTGTCCGTCTCAAGGCTTGGGCTGGACAAGACGTTGGCTTTGGTCGTATCAACAACATCACGTACAAGGACGTTCACATCGAAAACACCGACGGCCCTATCGTGTTGGATCAGTGTTACTTCAACGTCGACGCCTCCACGTGCGCCGAGTACCCGTCATCAGTCAACTTCACCAACATTACCTTTGAAAATATCTATGGTACTTCGTCGGGCAAGAATGGTAAGGTTGTCGGTGATTTGACTTGCTCGCCCAATTCTGTGTGTTCGGGTATCAAGCTCTCTGATATCGATATTACTAGCCCAGCTGGTGGTCCCCCGGTTGTGACCTGCGATGGCATTGATGGAGATGTTGGTGTGGAGTGCCAGTCGAGCTCGGCTTAGGTGTAGTATAATACTGTGAGATGAGAATAATTTCGGAAATAGTCATAAAATCAAAAGTACCGAAAGAAAATTAAAAGAGAAAGCGTCAAATACTGAGTTAGGAAGTGTAGTCCGACAGGGGAGTATGTCCGAGGAAAGTGCGGAGTAGAATGTAGTCATCTCGGACATAACATCAACTTCCCACAATCATCACCACCAGGTCTTTCACAGCAGGGTATTGATAACAAGTCGCTTATTCTGTACTGACTCTACACGTATTCTGCACATGACCATGCGGAGCTCTGATCCAACACTCTCACTCACCCTCAGCATGAATGGCAAAACAGCTGAACAGCCAAGCAGCGAGTGTGGAGAGTTAAGACCCCCAACAGGTCCATCTAGACCTCCTAGCCAATGAGAACAAAACAAGCATCGTCAACTCTTTGCCCCGAGTGGAAGTAGATGTTGACATCCGACCGGCCTGACGTTTCCTAATAACAACAGCAGAGAAGAAAAACCAGGCAGTCATCCTGGCTGACATCTCGTCCTGATGGATAGCATCCCCCTTATATTGGGCTATGCTATCTCTCTCCACACCCCACACTCTCCCATGATTTTGATTGGGACACCGGCTGAGACTATATCCTCCCCCTGTTTTGCCAGAAGTATCGTGTCTTGTTCGGAATGGCTTAGGATTCGGTATCCTAGTAACCTGCTTGCAAATGTTTACAGTACATGCAAGAGTCTCCCCAATCTGGGGAATATGTATCCACAATCTCCTCCTTTTACCCCCACCCCCAGATCCCCGGAAAGGGCGAAGTACGGGAAAAGGACGGGATCTCTGCTATAAGAACGTCGACGCATTCACAGGGTGTCGACTTTTTTCTTTCCCTTTCTTTTCTTTGTCTGTGCTATTGTCTTCCCACAGATCCTAGCATTCATATTCAACATGGAGAAGATGGATACCCAACATCACCACATTGAAGGTGCAAAGGCTAGTCCGCAAGAAATGGAGTCTGGAAAGCAATGTGATTTTTACGTCGAAGACCAAATCGCTCATCTATCTGAGGAACATCGCCAATATATTCTCGTGAAGCATGGAACGCTTGATCTGGAACCTATCCCTAACATGACCGATGCCGATCCATACAATTGGCCGCAATGGAGAGTGAGAGACCACCACTCCTATCGTCCATTCACACTTCGGCCATATTTCTAAGATGATTACTTGATAGAAAAGCTTGAACTTGACCCTAGTCGCCTTCCACGCCATGATGGCCACATTCAGTGCCTCGTCAATCCAATCTGCATTCGAAAATATCTCCGAAGACCTCTACGTTAGTATGCAGCGAACTAGTTACCTGTCTCACTCTTCATCGCCATACTAGGTGGTGCGCCTCTATTCTGGCGCCCGCTGTGTAATCGCTATGGTCGCCGCCCCATCTTCCTGATCTCGTCGATCTGCAGCTTGATTGGGAATGTTGGCTGTGCGAACAGTCCTTCATATGCAACAATGGGTCTCTGTCGTGCTATTACTGCCTTCTTTATTAGCCCTGCGGCTGCTATTGGTAGCGCCGTTGTCGCAGAGACTTTCTTCCGGAAAGATCGTGCTCGCTGCATGGGTGGATGGACACTGATGGTTACTCTGGGTGTTCCTGCCGCTCCGCTTATCTTTGGATTCGTTGCTTTGCGTGTAGGTTACCGCTGGATTTACTATATCCTTGCAATTGTGAGCTTTCATCAACCCCAATTTTTCTCAGAGATGGATCCATCTAACCATTCGCTTCGAACAGGTCAACGCAATCCAATTCGTCCTCTACTTCTTCTTCGGATCAGAATCCCTCTACGTCCGCAGCAATGTACCCTCCAACACCGTGGTCACCACCAAGCAGTGTCTATTCGGATTCAGCCGTATCGACCCTACACCACTGAAACCCTGGGACTTCTTCCAGCCCCTGAGCTATGTGATGAAACCATGCGTGATCATTCCATCTGTGGCCTACGCGATGATTTTCCTCTGGGGCAGTATTGCGCTCACAATCGAGATCTCCCAGATCTACCCTGCCAAGTTCGGCTTCAACACCCAGCAGGTCGGACTGCAATTCCTCGGTATTATTATCGGATCTGTTATTGGCGAACAAATCGGCGGGTTTATATCCGATCGCTGGATGCTTATGCGTCAGAATCGGACTGGAGAGCCATCCCAGCCGGAATACCGCCTTTGCTTAAGTTATATTGGCCATGCTTTGACAATCTGTGGTATTGTGGTTTTTGCTATCGAGATCCGGGATTCTGGCGGTGCGTGGAATATCGCTCCCGTTATTGGCGCTGCTATTGCTGGTGGTGGTAATCAGATTGTAACTACTGTTGACATTACTTATGCGGTTGATTGTTACCGTGAGGATGCCGCTAGTGTGTTCGGCAGATTTGGGGTTTCATTGGTCCTTTCTGGTTCCCTCAGATGTTCGAGGTTGTTGGCTGGGCTGGTGGTGCTGGTATTGCCGTTGCCCTCATGGTTGGTGTTAGTGTTATTCCGACTATTTTGGTGCAGTGGCGAGGAGCTGGCTGGCGTTGATGGAGTTGGTCGAGGGCATATAATTACTCTTTTTATCAACTAAATAAGAGAATGTAAATGTCCACAAAGTAGAAAATGGTGCTTGCTACGTTTCGAGCTACTCAATGGTATTGGAATATGGAGTACTCTGAGACAGTTATAGATTCACGGCGTCGTTACTATCAAAACTAATCAACAAACAGTTGAAGTTGAAGCTGTTAAAAAAATGAAAGCTCATATACATAAAATACTAAATCATAAATCAATAAATCATCAAAGATCAAAGATCAAAATTTACCACCCATCAACCCTTCGCATCCTCAAGTGCATCCCCTCAACCGGCTTGATAGTAACCGCCCCAGCAACATGAATCACCTGCTTTGGATCCTGCATCTCAAACAAAAACCGTCCAACAACGCCAGCAACCGCACACCGTAACTCCGCACGCGCAAAGTCCTTCCCAATACAAGATCTCTGCCCATGCAGAAATGTGATCTGCGCGAAATTCGTCGATGCCCCACCATTATTGTTCGGAATACAGTGTCCGTTCTTGTCCGTGTCAATCCAGCGCTCAGGCACGAATTCTTCCCCGTCATCGCCCCAGAAAAGTGGACTTCTGTTTATCGCCCACGGACATAACACAACCCGTGTCCCCTTCGGGACGTACTTCCCTGCTACGACGGTGTTGCGGACTGCTTCGCGGATTGTCGTTGGGACAGTTGGGTACAGACGGAGGACTTCTTGGCAGACGCCATTTAGTAAAGGGAGAGATTCGAGGTCTTGGTAAGTTATTGGACTGTCGCCCGACGGGATCTTGGAGCGGATTTCATCACGGAGGCGGGTTTGGTATTCTGGGTGGAGATGGAGCAGATAGCAGGCCCAGGTTAAGGCGCTGGCGGTGGTCTCGTGCTGTGGGAAGTTAGTTACTCGCTCGAATACCAAGGTATGCAAGCTGATTCTAGCAATGCAGTTGGACTGCAATACTCACCCCGGCAGCCAAAAATGTCAACATCTGATCAACCAACTCCGTATCCGAGAAATCCCCACCAAGCATCATCGTCCCCAGAATATCGGCCTCGAGATCCTGAGCAGAGACCTTAGACCCAACAAGACTGGTTCGCTTCTCACGTACAATATCGTCGCAGGTACTGCGTAGATACGCCGTCTCAGCTTTCAGTACGTCGTTCATCCGCCACGGAACACGCTTCGCCATCCACTGCGGTAGTGCAAAGTTCATCACTAGGAATGCCATCTTCTCCCTAGTCGGCTCGAGGATCTTTGCGAAGCTGTCTGCCACCTTGTTTCGCTTGTTGTGAAGCGAGCCAAAGTCACGTCCCATTGCTATGGGCCCGATTATGTCGAGTGTGAGGCGACTGAAATAGTGTTAGTATTGTATATCCCCGGGGATATTATCTGACCCCTGTAGCACATACCTCGCCCACTCGGACATCTCAACCTTACCCTCTAGGTCCTCTGGACTGGTTCCATCCATCGGGTTTATTTTGATGTCTTTCTCCAGTTCATCCAGCAACTGCCCCGTCTTGCTCCACATAAGCGAATACATCGAGCGGATATTTTTAATATTGAACGCTGGAGTGAGTGCTTTGCGCTGCTTCTTGTGCGCTAAGCCTTCCGAGGTAATCATCCCGAAGCCGATGATCCGCGCCAGGAAGTTTCGCATCCGCCATGGCTTCTCAAAGTCGTATGTGTTCGTGCTCATTATATCTAGTAGTGCTTGGTGGTTGGTTGGGATCACGTAGCTTTGATTGAACGTGTCGCGCATGTGGATAAGTCCTTCATTTGGGACGGTTTTCATCCATTTGAGGGGTTTTGTTCCCCGTGGTGAGTCGAAGATGAGTTCTATATGCGAGCCCTGTCTAATGTTAGGACTCTGCGTATGCTTTCACTTTGATTTGGTGTTTCCTACCTGGACTTTCGGTAGATGCCGCATCGGGCTCAGTAGCAATGGCCATATTATTATGCCGTAAAAGGCCTTTAGGAGAATATTTACTCCCAGTGCGCCGACAAAGATTGTTTGGAAGGTCTTGTCGACGAGGACAGTACGTTGGAGGAAATACGCCTCAGCAAGCGTGAATGCGCCCACCGTTAGTATATTGTCGCCAAACGCCATGTTACTGTGAATGGAGTTGAAAGACAAACGCCTCGGATTCAGCAGTCGAATTTCATATCAACTCATTTTCCCATCGGATATGCCCCATAGAGATCGGCACTCTTGTTGGGGTGAACCATACGAGACCTCGGCTCTGTGAACTACCATTATTTGGATCTGCGTGCTAGTGTTTCGTAATTTTTCATATTGAGAGGGGTGCAGAGTTTGGAGGCGTCCACATGCGATCCATAATTATAATCTGGAGGCTTAGACCAGTAGTTCATAGAATGTCCACGGGGTACTTAGGAATGGGGTAATAAGGTGATATCATTTACAATGCGGGGATGCCAAGAGACATGTGAAAAGAGAAGAAAGACAAGATTATTCAGAAAATTCAACTGTCTCAATGAAGATATTATTCCTGTCGATCTTTTGTCGATCCCCCTGTGGGGAATGTTCCCTCGCATTGCTTTCCTTGTTAGTGTACGGGCGACTAAGTCTCTCATTGGTTGATATCTCACCATCTTTAAATCACCGCCTTCTTAAAGCATATGCACTAACCGGCCCCACTTTTCTTTTCCCAGGCAAAAAAAAGGGACCCAAACGTCGGTGTACCTTTTACTAGGCGAGCCATATAAAAGGTACATATACAAATACTCGTTTTTCTCGACCAAATTATACAAAGACCTTTTATTTTAAGTGTATCAGTAATATTCTAATACTACCTTAATACTTTCATTAAATTTGAAGGGCAAGTTTCCGGGACGCCTTAGTAGTCAAATATCTTATGTTCGGCGCGATAGTTAGTAGGTCAAAACTTCAAATCGTAATACTTTAAGAGGGCTCCCTAAAACCTAGGCTGAAAATTGAATATTGTATTTAAATAGAGCTGATTGTTTTATATGCTAGGTTATAGTAAGCTTTTAAAGACTTTTATAGTACTAAAAATCACCATTTATGTATGTACCTTTTATATGGCTCGCCTAGTGCAAGCGAGGGTTCCCTTTTTTTGTTTTTTGACTGGGAAAGAAAAAGTGGGACCGGTTAGTGGGAAAGCTTTAAAATTGTGAAGCCGAGGCTGGAATTACATACCATAAAATATCCTATCCTTAATCCTTAAGTAGCTTGGATATAATTATTATTCTTAATATAATCCGATACTCATCACCTTACCCTCCGACATCAGACCTTACATACCAAATAACAACAATGTCTACCCTCAACCTCATCAGCCAATACACCCAAACGGCTCTATCTCACCTCCCAGAGCAAACCCAGCATCTCCTCCACAACCCAACAGCTCAAAAGGCCCTCGGTGTCCTTGCTGCCCTCACCATTCTGCGCGCTACAAACCGCTTCTTTTCGAAACGCACACTGCAAAACTGGACCTTCAACCAACCATGGATCCCAGCCCGTGAGCTCATCCTGCTAACGGGAGGGTGTAGCGGAATCGGCAAGCAAGTGATGGAAGACCTAGCGCGCACAGGCGTGCGTGTTATCATCCTCGATATCAATGAGCCGAATTTCACACTACCCGCCAACGTCACCTTCTACAAGGCGAATATCACCTCCTCGGCTGATATCGCCAAGGTCGCGAGCACGATCCGTGATAGCCACGGCGAGCCTACGGTCTTGATAAACAACGCCGGTGTTGGATATGACGGGACCATCCTCGATGAGTCTGAGGAGAAGATTCGTCAGACGTTCGAAGTCAATACCCTGTCCCATTTCCTGATGGTCAAGGAGTTCTTGCCGGCTATGGTAAAAGCCAATCATGGTCATGTTGTTACTATTGCTAGTATGGCGAGCTTCGTAGCGCTCGGCGAAATGGTGGATTATTGTTGCTCCAAGGCTAGTGCGCTTGCGTTCCATGAGGGATTGCGTCAGGAGTTGAAGTACTGGTATAATGCGCCCAATGTGCGCACTAGGTGAGTTACCCTCGGATTGAGTGTGGTGTGAATGTTCGCTGATTGTTGCTTTAGTATTATCCACCCCATGTGGGTGCGTACACCCATGATCCAGGTGCTCACGGATAACAAGGCACATTTCCATCAGCCCATCATGACCCCCCAAGTCGTATCTGATGCTATCTGTAAACAGATCTTGACTCAGATGAGTGGTCAGGTTATTCTGCCTGCTGGCCAATCAGGGGCTAGTTTGGTGCGTGCTATGCCGACCTGGATGCAGGAGGGTGTGCGCAATTTCGCATCGGGTGCGTTAAAGAAGCTGCGTATTGCGCGGCAGAAGGAGGAGAAGGCGTAAGCCCAGTAGATAGTAGATATTTTGTTTTGGATAATGATTGGAGATGTGATCATGGGACTTATGTATATATTGCTGAGAAGTCGAAGAAATATCACAGGCTGGTCCATGGAGTTAGAATGTTTTCGCCAATTTCCCCCAATAGCCAGAGTGGATTCGTGTCAACTTTAGCACTTTGAGTAATATCACAGTTCGGTGTATAATATTGTACCTTTTCATGGAATAGGCCGTATTTATTGCATTAAAATCAGCTCTTTCCGGCTGGATATATATTGTCTGGGTATATTTTGACTATTACTGTCTAAAACACTTTATGCATGTCTTCAATATGTACTCGACCAAGTATGTACAGTATGTCCATCGTTGCTATCATCACACCATCAACTCGGCCAAAACCGTCTCAACCTTCTTCCCCTGCTCGGTCTTCGTAACATCCCCCAATTCCAAATTATAAACTGGCGCAACATGACATTCACGATTCCCGACAAACAACTCCACATTCTCAAAGCCCTGCTTAAACTTCGCCGCCAAGTCTTGAATCAGAGGCAACATAATCTCATTACCGCCCGCGGTAATCAACACCGAATTCACCGGGAATGTCGTAAACCAATCCGTGGGCGCGGTCGATAAATCAGTGTAATAGTCCCGCTTTCCATCGCCAATATAGGCTGTCACCCACGGTCGTGCAACTTCCTGGGTGATGATATCCCCGCCGTGGTAGACCTCCATACCTGGGAATTCTTTTTCGAGCAGTGTCCATGGAGAGATCATCACTGCACCGCCAAGGTTGCTGCTCAATGGCAAGGGTTTGATCTCTGCGTGTGGGTGGGCCAAGTGAGAGAGAACTCCACCAACCAGGTTGCCGCCTGCCGAGTCTCCACCCAGGAAAACAGTGGACGAGTCGCGGTTTGGTTGGGAGAGGATATATCGCAGACAAGTCACAGCTTGTCGGAGTTGAGTCGGGTAGGCTGCGATTGGCGCCAACGTGTAGGTCAGGCTGAAGACTGCGACGCTTTTGCCTGATGCTCTGAGGTCACGCAGGAGTTGCGCGTAGAATTTGAAATAGCCCATGTTAGCGGGGAGTGCGAAGCCACCCCCTGAATGATATGGTTAGTTGAATGGCCTTCCTTTGTGTTATGTTGTATACATACCGTGGAACCAGACTATCACGTTGTCGGCATTTCGATCTCCCACCCAATGGCCCAATGCTCCATCACCCAATTCCACGGATTCGGGCAGTCTGCCGGTCTTCTTGGAGTGTTGTTCGTAGATCTTGTGAGATGGGGGTAGGATGTACTGCAGCTGACTCGTGCTCAGCCGCGAGGTGGTCTTGCGGAACACCGCATAACCTAAGTGTAGGAAAAAAGACTTGGCTTGGCGCTCGGTGCGCCGAAGGCCTGTTAAGAGAGCATAGATGTAGGCGATCACGATGGAGGCCACGGCTGGGAAGAGGTCGAGTTTCTCCTTTAAGGAGAGCTTCACCTTGTATACTTTGAAAGACATGACTATGACTATGATGCGGTGATAGTAGTTACAACATAGGTAGATGTAATAATATATTAACTATAACGTAGTTATATTGTAGTTAACTACGGGGTGTCGATCCCTCGCAAGGCTATCCCGTTTAGGAAGGTGCCGAGGTTTAGAGGCAATTCCTCGGCCACAGCATGTCTTTGGAGGTTTAGCCATGTTGTATGTTGTATACAATATAACTAGATATTCTATGAATGAGTATGTTTACATCTATATTGTATATCTCTATAACTAGGGCTATGGATATGTTTATATACATATTTCTCTCTATAGTCTATAGATCTGGATTAGTCGATCTGTGTAACTTCTAAAAGTAAATAGATACTACATTGATATATATATATATATATACACTCGTACTAATCTCCCCGGTCTCCCCGTGCAGACAGTTTTAAGGTTCTATGTGCGTGCTGTTTACCCCAAATCGACTGGTGTCGATCAGGAGAATGAGTCGTGAAACCGAGGTCAACTTTCCTTTTTTAAATAACCTCAATGTTTCTTCTTTATTTACTACTCACTGATAATTATTCGTTTGATTGCATTGATCCATCATGAACGGAATGCATGGCATAAACGAAACTAAACACTTTGATATTATCATCGTCGGCGCAGGCATCTCCGGTATCAATGCCGCCTACCGCGTCCAAGATCAACTACCCGGCTACACCTACACTATCCTAGAAGCTCGCACCGATCTAGGTGGCACCTGGGATCTCTTCAAATATCCTGGAATCCGTTCTGATTCGGACCTTTTCACCTTTGGCTTCCAATTCAATCCCTGGTCCCGCGATAATCCCATCGCGGAGGGCTCTGCCATCAAGGAGTATGTGCGCGACACAGCGACCAAATACGGCATCGACAAACGCATCCTCTATAACCACCGCCTGTCATCGGCAGACTGGTCCTCTGATGAGAATACCTGGTCGCTGGCCGTCGACCACAATGACTCCCAACACACTTACACCGCCCGTTACGTCATCTTCGGCACAGGCTACTACAACTACAAGGATCCACTTAAAGCCGACATCCCTAACCTGGACACCTTCCAGGGTCAGATTGTCCACCCGCAGTTCTGGCCCGAGGACTTGCAATACAAGGACAAGAAGGTCGTTATCATCGGCTCCGGCGCGACCGCCATTACTCTCCTCCCCAATCTCGCCGACCATGCCGCCCGTGTCACAATGCTCCAGCGCAGCCCAACTTATATCCTCTCCGTCCCAAACCGTTCAAGCAGCCGCTGGCTCTCCTACCTCCTCCCCAGTGCCCTGTATAGCAGGATGCAACGCATAATCTGGATCTACACCACCCGAATCTTCTTCCTCTTCTGCCAGCGCTTCCCGAATTTCGCGCGCTGGCTGCTAAAATTGAATGTGCGCAAGCAATTGCCCAACCATATCCCCTACGACCCACATTTCAAACCTAGATATAACCCCTGGGAACAACGGTTGTGTGTTTGTCCCGATGGGGATCTGTTTCGCAGTCTCCGGCAAGGCAAGGCGGATGTCAAGACCGATACCATTCGCGAGGTTACGAAGAATGGCATTATCTTGAATTCGGGAGAGCAGCTCGAGGCAGATATTATTATTACTGCTACTGGCTTGCGCTTGCAGATTGCAGGTGGATCGGCGCTATCTGTGGACGGGAAGGAGATTGAGATTGGCGATAAGTATCTGTGGAATGGAATTATGCTCCAGGATCTGCCCAATGCCGCTTTCGTTATTGGATATACTAATGCCTCGTGGAGTCTCGGTTCTGACGCCACAGCCCAGTTTGTCTGTCGCTTGCTTAAAGAGCTGGAGTCACGGAAGTTGATCGCTGCTGTTCCCCGCTTGAAGGAGAAGGATGCTGCTGCGCTCCAGGATCGTCCTCTATTGAACCTCAAGTCGACTTATGTGTCGCTTGCTGAGCGTGTCTTGCCCAAAGCTGCTGACCGTGGACCGTGGCAGCCGCGCGATCACTATTTGAAGGACTTAAAGTTTGCTTACAGTGGTGATATTGAAACCGGACTGGAGTTTGTGCAAGGGCCGAATCTGCGCCTGCGCCCTAAGATGTCCTGATCGATGCAGGTTTATGATATGATAGCCACCTAACTACCTACATTTGGGAGTGTCTGATTCGGTGTACATATGGCGTTTCAGGAAGCCCAGTAACAATATATTCATTCCTATTCTTCAGCTGTGCAGTTTCCCTCGGTCTCCATTAAAACCGAATACATGCTGTCAGAGAGGTCAACAACTTCAACACTCTCCCACGGCACCACACCTATCAACTAATGTCTATCATGATGATGCATCTGACGGATTCGCACACACGCTCATATTTCCAAAATACCACCCATGTTCAGGATTTGGCCACCTCAAATCCCGATCCGAACCAGCATTCCCAGCCTTACTATTAATTCCCTCAATATACTCCACCCCATCAGTGGTGGCCTGCACCCCAGTCTCCTGAGTAACCCAGTATTCAGGCGAAGGCTGGCTCCAATCCAAAAACGGGAGGTTGAGCGGCACTCTCGGGATGGGGTCTGTAGTATGCGTGGCTCGGTAAATGCTGTTTGGCGGTTGTTGATTGGTGATGAACTCGGCCAGCTTCATGTTTCCTGGTTTCGGTCCTCCAAATGTCCACTGATGATTTTTATATGTTAGCTGCCATCTACTCTGCTTTCCTGTTCTGGAACTTGACTTACAATATCCAAAGTGAACCCCTGTTTTCGAAGAACAGTTCCTGCTAGCGCCGCAATACCCCCACCCAGACTGTGTCCTACAACGCTCAGTCTGTAGCCTGGATACGCGCTGGTTGCATCTTGAAGCTGGGTTGTCGTCTGGCTCGCTACGGCGTTCCAATAAACCCAGAACCCATGATGGGCTTTGCAACCGGTACACACGTCGTTAATCGGGGTGAGAACGATATCGAGATCTGCGTTGCCGTCGCTTTTTGATACCGTGCCGCGGAATGTTAGGACGATCAGTTGCCGTGTGTGGTCTAGGGCAATATAGCCTGTGGGTCCTTTATCGCTGTGGAATGTGTTGATTACTGTCGTGTTGTCGGCTGCCACGAGTCCGCAGGTGCCATAGTCGCAGGTCAGACTTTGGCCCGTGTGGTTGATGTTTTGATCACAGGCCGATAGGGTGGCGAATTGGGAAAATAGCGTGAATCGTTCCAGTAGCTCGCTTGAGATTGCTGATGCATTTTCATGGTTAGATTGGATATTGGGCTTTGTTGTAGGTGGAACGGAACTCACCTCGGCGAGCTAGTTGGACAGGAGATGCAATGACTACCACACTGAGCGATAGCACTCCAAGCACACGACATATCATTGATCCAACCATATTAGATAGGGCGAATGATGTATAGTGTAGAATGATACTTCGTAAGTATACGAAATGGATTGCAAAGGCACCTTAGGTATTCGGCTGATCCCTGGGGGATTAAGCCATATTTATAGACTTCCTTTTCTACCGTCAATGACAACCCACATATGGAATGTTGTCCAAGAGGGGAGGGGTAATGGCTGCAGGGCTTAGTATATTGGCAGGCTAACCTTGTATCCGGAGGATAACTCGATCTTAGGGCTGCCGGAACACACCAATTGGGATTGTTGATCCGACCGTTCTACCTATAATACAATACATACATTCCACCTAGACCCCTCGTGAACTGAAACATTTGAGACCGCTGTTCGATAGCGGGAAATGTTTCAATCCTGGTATACTCACTAAGTAGTTTCTAACCCTCTAACCCTAAGAAATCTTTTCCTCTCCACTTTACTGCTCATCTCGTGTCGGCTTTCAATCACTGATTATTACATTTTCCTGCTAAAATACATTATTTAAATAGTGGTTGTTAGTTAGCTAGTTATGGTATTTTCTGCAGCTGGCATGTTACATATTTGTGACCACCAATAGCGTGACTCCCACATGTGGGCTTAAATGGGGTAATTTCTCGATATGAACACTTGGCAAGGCAATAATCATTCCCCAATGGGTTAAGATTTACATGCAAGACTCTCATAGCAATCATCATAAGGTCAAGATCCATATGTCTCACCGTGAGGCGGCCCGCAGATTGTGCGTACATAGCCGATAGATCGGCGGTGATCATTTCAGCTCAATATCCACATCAGATCTCATTACTACATACGGTGTATACTCTGTGGACACATACATATTTGCTAGGTGGATTCGTGCATGATGCAAGTTTGCTCCACCCCGACGGTTTCCGCCACGAGACAAATCCTTCCCTTACGTAGATCACTACTCGGTAAAGCATTAATATAATTAATTGCTTCTGTGAAGCCCTCAATTGATCGATAATCAAGATTGACATAACAGGGCCGAACCGAGCCCTCCGCTGGGCTTAATTATCCAACAGCCTGCAGTGTCTTTAAATTCTCGCTTGTTGAGGCAAGTCTATGTCGGTTTCGCAGCCCTCTCGCTTGTGATCTTCTCTCACTCGCCCATACGCCCGCCGTCAATGCATTCACTGAATACTGGAACACCAAGAAGGGAAAGGAGACTGATCCATGACCCTTTCGCCCATATATCGTGGTGTTCTCGCGTCGTGACTGGATGATGTCCCCATGCATAAGACGTCAAAGCGATCGGACGCCTTGCATGGAATATCAAAGGGGGAAATAGAATACAAGCTGCGTTTGTATTCCAAATAATGTTTACCCTATTTCTCCACCTTTTCATCGTTAATAAAGGGTTATACATATAAAAGCTCTTGTACAAAGGATTCTTTTTTTGTACGCACCCTTAAAAGGTCATATAAAAAGAATATCAAAAAGCCCACTAAAAGGACCTACCAAGGCTGCATAAGCGGCCGACTATTCCTGTTCCATTACCGAGGTTCACGGGTATTAATTCCATTACTAATATGGAGTCCTGGAATATAAAATCCCCAGGGGGCAAGTAAGCTCTACCAGAGAAAGTTCGCTATGTAACGTGGCAATATGTATGCATCATGCACACTTAGCTAGTTGCATTAGATGTAGGTAGATGCACTGTGATTTACGTCTGCCGCCTCAAAATGAGTTTATAGAAGCAACTTTACCAGATAGCTTATTGGCATGAATATCAGATATCCAGAGACAACGTAGCCATAGTATCCCGTAAAATATACACCTTAGGGAGAAAATCATTATATAAAGTAGAAAGACCCTTCTATGCTTTACCCTCATGTTACTGCCTACCATAATCCCCTTGCATTTAATGTCGTACACCCTCAGTCTGACTGAACAATGGTAGCATGTCGTAACTAGTACACAGCATGTGTAGCTACTACGATGTAGATCGCTTAGCGCAGCTCTAATGAATCCAACTCGAGGACATGCAGCTCCATCTTGGGTTCGTGCGACTATCCGCATTCAACTATTACAAGCAGTCGACCAATTGAAGGCAATCACTGATTTTATTGAGTCATGCGTGCATAGTATGACATCTCCATGCATGGGTGTGGTAGCCGTGCCAAGCGGCCAGCACACCGTTCCGGTTGTTGGGCGCTTGCCACGGCTATTCCATAAATATGCGGTTCTCCCTGTATGTGTATATCTATTGGCAAGTACCTAATGCCCGTCAATAATTGCTTCTTCCGCGCTTTTCAGCTGAGGGAAAGGTCCTCAAATCCCTCTATTATTCCCGCATGGTCACATTGAAACGGCCACACGGGGTGGTTGAGAAAAGCACATTTCTAGATAAGCAGGCATTGGCCTCCAAGATTGACATTTTTGCCTTGCTTTATACAACCGTCGAAAACTCTTATCCCACCTTCACCCACGAGCGAGCTATCTAAGTCACTAGCGATGGAATTCACATCATCTGGTCGTATGACATCAATGCAGACGGCATCGTGCTTTGCCCCCTCCAGAAGATTTCATGGGATCGATCATATTCTTCTATCAACAGTCCGAACCCTTAAACACGACTCTACCAATACTGGAGCACCCAAGTGAGCCGCAAATAAAGGGAGTACATTTCAGTTTCATTGGGACAAATTAATGTCAGCACTCCAGACTACATCGGACCAACGGTTATCTCTGGTAACACGGTGTGTACCTACCTAGGTAGGCGCCTACAGACATAGGTACCTACCCCATTTGGAAAGAATAAAGTTAAACTTTCGGGAAACATTTAAGGTTAAACCACAGTTCATCAATTCAACCACGGCACAGTACAACCTCAGATTCCAGAATGACGCGACCTGATGACACCACTGGATGCATATGTCACCCGAATAACAACCAGTAGAAGCTGCCTGGGCCAGCTATTTTCAGATTTCATTTCCATCACTTTACATTCCACCACTGAATATCCCTCTACCGTGTTGATACTCCCTGAGGACAAATACAGCAAGCCCAAACTCCGCGATGAAATCGAAAATGAAATCCACAGCAGCGACAAGGGTGGGGAACCTGACCAGTGGTCTCCCTGAAAGGTACTCAGCACCACCGCTCCCTCCAATGCCCTGATATTGCTTGGTGTGATATCTGATACTCGTGCAGGATCAAATGATGGCATCCGAATACAAAAGGTGCAGCAGCAGCTACAACACCACAAAGAGAGAAAGAAGAAATGGCCACACGGAATCTCAGAATCACCTTGATACTTGGACAGAAGAGGAATGGCAGACCAAGGAAGGACCTGGCACGGCACGACAAGATGATGACTCGCATAAACGGTACCTACCCAAGAAGGCTTGGGAGAAGTTGAGTGAAAAGGAAAAGGAGAGGACGAACGAGAAGATGAGGGGTCACAAGGTGGGAAGCAATTTGTTGGCAATACCGCAGAGGGAAATGAGGCCAGGCGGGAAGCTAGTAGTGATGTTGGGATAAGAACGAGAAGGCTGACGACAATTCGGAGGAAATCCGAAGGCTGATAAAAGGGGACCGAAAGGAACAATGGAGAGGAAACGGAGGACAAGACAAAAGACAACAAGAAAGGAGGCACAGCAAGCAAACGCAGTGCTAAGCAGGATAAACACCAAAAAAGAACAGAAGACGCGCCAGGATGCAATGTCTGCGAAAGAGAAAATAAACAATCTACTGAGGTCGATTGATCCCTCCAAATGTATTTGGTCGATGTTATTGACAGTTTACTGGGTAGGGGCCGTAAAAGAGGCGATTACCGGATTGAACTGACACCCAAACTGCAATGTCAAAGGTGCGATTGGAAGAAAGACGGAGGAGCCATCAAACAATGTCCGAGCGAGGTCCCAGATCCTGGGACTATCCTAGGTGCAGTCCCAAAGAGGCAACAAAGCATCAACGACAACAAAATACATAGTCTACGAGAGAACGAAGTTCATTAAATAATGTATCATTTTAATGGGTATCCATGGTCTTGAAAACAATACTTGTTTATGTTCAGCCTGACCCAATCATGCTAGGATCACCATTACTTCATCCAAACATACCTCATTTGATACGAAAAATTATCATCTCTTTATCTCCGCTCCTCATCGACAACCGTGTGGGGAGTGAAGTCGCTGTCTGGAAGCATGTTCATGGCATCCTCCTGGGCGTCCAACTTGTAGTTGGTGGCCCAGAATCCAACACCACCCAGGAAGGCGAGGATAGCAACCACGGTGTAGTTCCAAGTCAAGAGAGGATCATCAGCCAGACCAATGAAAGCCTGACCAATGGCAGATGAGAAGGCGTTCATCAAAAGGGAGACAGCCTGGACGAGGGATCGCATGTTCTTCGGGGCTTTGGTGTAGGCATACTCGAGGGAAGTGATGGATGCAAGGATCTCGGAAATACCACCCATGATATAGGTCAGGGCTTGGATCCAAACAGAGATGTTGGTGTGCTCGTGCTTAACCTCTAGACACATGTTGGCCTGGTTACCACAGGGCCCCAACTTGTAGATGTAGTATTGGGTGACTGCAGCAACGACCATGCTGAGAGCAGCCACGATGAAACCGGCCGTGATACGCTTCAAGGGGGTGAAGTGGAAACCCATCTTGCGAATACCAGGGTATACGAGATGATCGAAGATGGGGATGAAGATGATGAGTGCAATGGGGTTGAGGTTGTTGATGATGTCGTTGGGGACACCTCCAAGTTTCATGGTGGCCGCTTGAGATGTCAGGTTGTTCAACATTTGGTTGTAGGCGAGCCCTAAATATGGTCAGCATGTGCGAATAGAACAGAGAGGAGCCTGGCACGTACAGTAAAGGGGGTACCACAAAAACACTCTGCAGGCAAGCAGTCCTCGGCGAACTTCATCAACCCACGCATCGTCGAAGTCCATCCACGCTGGCTTGTTGGCTCCGAGGTGGCTGGGCTTGGCTGCAGCCCAAATATCGACTCCAGAGCTCTTGAACCTACAGAGGAAGATCAGTAAATGTGACACTCGGCGTTAACGGGACGGGGCGTAGCTTACCATCGCATGGGGTTTAGGGTCCAGCGGCCCTTCATCGCCAACATTGATACTTTGAAAGCTTTGGGGTAGATTGATCCACCGGGAGGAGTGAGAATATAGTGCTTCTTGCAGACAAGCAACACAGCAGGGCACAGACAGAACATGGCTGTGGGGAGCAGATAAGAGAGCCAGAAACCCACATATCGCTCGGCGTAGACCATGGCGACCTGACCGACAAAAGAACCGATATTGACCATCATGTAGAAGTACATGTAGATACGGGCAACAGTAGCAGACGGGTCAACGATGACACGCTCACCAGAAGCAAGTGTTGTAACATAAGGCCTGTCCTCGCGATATTGCTCGGCAATCAGGGGGGCAATATTGGCCTTGAAACCACCAGTTCCTACACCCATGATAATAAGACCAATAGAGAAGCATGCAATGGCTCCGTTGGGACTTTGCATAACCTGCGGAATGGCGGAAATGATGAGAATGATGTGTCCAACGAGTGCACAGGCAATCGCGGACATGATGGTGCGGTAACGACCCCACCATTGATCAGCAACCATAGCACCAAAGAGAGGCATGATGTAGGACCAGAAGGAGTTAACTGTGCAGGTTAGGGGTGTTAGCGACGAAAGCAACCGCACGAGACTACAGATCACTCACACAATGTCAATCCAGTGGAGGCCTGCTGGCCCATACCCAGAGCCCCGGGCGAATCATTGCTCCAGTTGGAGACACCTGGAACGAGGGCACCGGTGGTGGATCCAACGGGCATAGGTCGCTGAATGAAATTGACAACTAATCCAGGTTAGCCATCTATCCTCCCTCTCTCGAAGATTAATATTGCATACAAACAGCAGTAGCACCGTAGTACGAGAAACGCTCGCACAGTTCCACAAAGGCAACGCTGTATGCAGCCACTGGTAGGGTGCCGGCAACACGGCGCAAAGTGGCCAGTTCCTCCTCGGTAGGATTTGTTTTATCCAGAGAATCACCTTCGATTGACGCGTCCCGCAGGGGGGCATTGTCGATAGTCAACTCATCAACCACGGGGACTTTCTCGTTGAGACCGATATTGTGTGAGATTTCCTTTGATTTGGCAATCTCAGCCACATCGACAGGATCGCTGGCATTCATATTGGCGGTTCTGGGATCCAGTGATATGGGAGATGAAAACACAACAGAAAAAAAGAAAGAAAGAAAGGTTAGCTGGAGGGCGAGGTGAAGGAATTATATGTCACATGGCGTGATTAGCGGAACCGTTTAGCTGTGAGTTCCAAGAGTTTCCACTGCTCATTTCTCATGTTCCTCCATAACAAAACCCGGGGCAATGTCTGCATTAGGGAGGTGGCGGACGGCGGACATAGTAAAAACCGTCAATAGCCGGAAGAAACCCTGCGTCTAGTACTTTTTCTTGATTAAGCCCTGTTGGGGATCTGTGCCTCCAATAGGGATATTCGGGCTCATCCGGCCTGACCACTTTCCTTTGGAGAAGATAAGCCAAAATTCCAAGGTTTCCAGCTTTGTTCCAAATCCAAAGAGAACCCAGAAAGCTAATAGTTAACAAGACTTGGATCGTCCAATCAAAGAGCTGATGTGGGCTTAAGTCCCCCAGTTTTGATATCCACTTTTGTGTCACTTAGCGTTGCCTTAGCTTGACTTGGCACATACTGGGCACGGTTTGACCGAGTATCTCCCCGCGCCATGCCGCTTGGCTGGTAGGTTCCATTGTAACCCTGTTTGCTTGGCTACCTCATCTATCCAATCACAGTAAAGAATGGTTGATAACCGAGGTGCGATAACTCGATAACTGATATCCTTTGAAATCCCGCACCTGGCCTCTTAACCAATCACAATACTTGAACCACAATTCGATGGCAAAAATTGCGGGGCTTCAACTGATTAGGCTCAAGGTCAAATTGCCCTTACTTCCTTCTGGAGAAGTGAGACATGGTGTGATTGGGCCTTGTGATTTTGTGATCAATTACCCGACTCTTTTAACTGCTTTCGCGCATTAACAGTCTCTTGGACCGTCGGTGCCCCGGAAATCCAACAACCTCATGACTATCGAGATGACTACCTGCTTTTTATTGGGAAGCCATGGGTCTAACCCCCCGGTCTCATGCGATTAGGCATCCTGATTGCCCTTCCTAATTCCCTTCAGTCCATGCATTCCATGCCACATAACTTCCGATATCCTATACGATAATCATGTTGCATGTGTCGTTTCCTCGTTTCTTTCACTACCGTCTACTACTCCGTAGTAGTATCCGTAATGAGTGTAATCGCTTGATCCTTTGGAATCTCCAGTTTACCATCTGTCAGAACGCTTGTGTTCGATGTGAATGGCGCGAAACCAGCCGATCGTCCCATCCAACCTCTACCTTGATGCGTTGATAGGATATCAAAGTGCAGTGACACTTGCACTCGCACATCAGGGTGATTTCTGGACTATTGGTATGTTTATCAATGCTGATGGGCTCCTCGCTCACTTTGACACGTTCACCGCTTTGCGCAGGTCCCACGCGGCGATAGTCCTTGCCCGCCTATTCTGCCTTGACCACTGTGTTCTTGTGCATTCCATTGACCGGTTTTTAATTGGACGATAATATCACATACACGTGGCGGGTCGCGTGTCTGTGGAACTACCAGTACCCTTGTACGGAGTAAGCTGACTTGGCCTGGCTTATTTTGAGTGGATATACATCCACTTCTCATGACCACGCATACCTGCATTGTTGCAATGTCAGATTATGTGACCATGCGGCCTTGGTAGCCTTGGTCGCCTTAAAGATATCGTGGAAAGAATGTGTTTGATAACTCACAGTAAAGCACCTGGCAATTGTCTTCCGACTGCTAACCTGTTTTTTTTTATCTTCTCTTCTCTTTTCAAGTTTCCCCACTACCGACGACTCGATTAGAATTCATTTCACGCAAAACAACTCCGAAATCTAAAGGTTCAGCAGATGGCATTGAAGTTGCTATCGCCGTGACTCGAGCCTCGAGCTATTGGGACAATACACATAGCGAAATCCCCAGATGATCGAACCACATGCATAAACCCACCTGATATTGCAAAAGCCTGTACGCAATAGATCCGAGCTGACAGGTGTAAAAGAAAGTAATTTCCATAGACATTGTTTCTCTGCTGCGGTGCACATCCATCTATGAAGATATATCTAACTCTCATATTTATTATTTCTGATGTAATCCACCTCAATATCTTCTTCCGTCTTTTTCAATACTTCAAGTTATCAAAGCCAACAACGCTCGAGTCTATCAACGCCTCTTCGCTGATGCTAAACTTGGGTCACTGGCCAACGCCGCCAGATCGATCTGCGAAACGAACGAGAAAGTTCCCTCCCCCGCCGCCCCCAACAATTCCATCAGCCCCTAGCAAGGTTTCTTCCACATGCTGGGTCCTTCTGCCTCGCCGGGGAAGCACCACATGGGTGCCATTAGCAGAGGTACTGACTGGCGGACCTTCTCGCAATGACTCGCATTGCCTCCTCCGGGTTCTATCGAGACATGAGAAAATGCTCTCAGCCAGCACAGGGGCCCCGGTGCGTACCTCGAATCACACTGTCCGGTACGATGCAATCCAAAGAGACACCAAGCAGATTTTAGTCTAACCAAGATCTCAGACCCGATCCGGTACCAGGTCGCCTCGTTTATACCTTCCAAATATTACTCGAAACTTGATTGATCTCACGAAAACCGTCAAGATCCTCCCTCATTAGTCTCTCCCCCGATCGCATCCTAGTCCGCACCGGCGGTCCCTTCCAAATCTTCTTGCGGATCGACCTAGCCACCTTTTAAAACGGACTGTGACACTGTGTCAGTCCCGCCTAGCACAAGATCCAGGGGAAATCGATCCGTGTTCTTCCAAGCAGTGCAAGTCTGTCCGTGCGATTTAAACCGCGATAGAGGTAGGGACTTTTGTCAAGTCGATCTGACTTTCCCCTGAGAAGCCAGTCGGGTGCGACCTGGCATTAGGTTATATCCATCCGGATTCCTTCCGAGAAGTTTTACACCGTCCTATATTGATAAGTGAGCGAGGCAAGACCCATCTCCCAGTCCTATTCCAGATCTTCTCGATTGGTCCTTCGCGGTTTCCTCTGGACCTGGATGCATCCGATCATGATCATGATTCCGGCCCAGGGCGGTTACATATTAGCTCGCATTGGCAATTCTGGTATGGACACTTTATCAGTGAGAGATATGTCAACCTGACAAAAATCCGTACTCTGATCCCACCCCGATCGTGCCGACGGGCACTTGCCCTTCTTCAAAGAGAACCTGATCGATCGCACCAAAATTTGAAGTCATCGGCTCTAGCAAGGACGGCCTCCTAGGACCCCAGAAGAATCCGATCCTCATTTCGCTCTTGGTTACCTGATTTCGATCGCACCGACCAATCTACAAAAGAAGATTTCTTCGATGAGCTCCGTATAGATATTACAAAGCTCCCGGCTGTCTCGTCCATTTGTCGAATGGAGAAAAATATATCTCGAACTACCCACGCAGATCGTCCAGTCCACCGACGAATCATGAAATCACTGGCCTTGCATGTTTCTACGCAAAGTACCAGGCTTCGAATTATCGGAAGGTCTCAGCGAAGCTAGCTAAGTCGGCGCGATGATGAAGTTTGTCCCCGAGCTTGTTAATGCGACATTCGAACCCATTACCCCTACCTGTCTACGCCTTCTGAGATTCCCTTTGAGAGGTCCTTCTGTGAGAATTCCAGTGAAGTCTTCCAACTCAATGTGTTATTTGGTTAGGAAAGCAGATTTGTCCCCCGGAAAAGCACTTTTGACTCATGTCATTTGGAAAATAACTAAACATACCATTATCAATATGTACGCCCCTTGCGGACTTGACCGAGCTCGTTTGCCGGAGCATTCTTTGCCCGACGTGCATTCCTCTCAGCGGCCACTCCTAAATCCTCTCGGTGGATTGTGCTATCCAAGCACAGTGGTTGTATCCTTATGACCATGTCCATTGCCTATGCAATATGCCCGACACTGCACTGCATAGTTACCGCGTGATCAGTGTATGGGCTGATCTGCCGTCTTGAGTTGTGATTGTCCCTTCTCCACTACTTCTCAGTTCTCGGAAGTGCCAAAGCCGAATGAATATCGGATTTCAACAGAAGAGACACATGCTCGAGCTCTAGGAGTTCCGAAACCATGAAAGCTGTCCATCCAGACCCATGAGGATAGACAGAGGGGGAAACGGACATTCTATATATATATCCCTTGATTGCCCACTCAACATGAGGATTGCGAGCTAAGGGAGAAACAAGATCACTAGTGCGTTAAAACCTCTTCTACCCAGTTCAAGGAAGCATCACAATGCCTTCCATCTGGACACTGATCTTGTTGTCTACCTTGCCTCTGGTTTGGGCCGTCCCAGCCCAGAAGAAAGCACCAACAACCAATCCAACAGTTATTATCTCCAAGCCTGAAGCCACTGTTATTGGCTCCACGGATCTGAACAAGATCGATAAATTCAATGGCATCCCGTTCGCACTACCCCCAACTGCCCTCCTTCGGTTGAAACCACCTCAACCCATCCAAACATCCCTCGGGACCATCCAGGCTACTTCCATCGCGAAGTCCTGCCCACAATTCCTGTTCAGCACCGACAAAAAGGACATCCCTAGCTCTATAATTGCGACGCTCACCAACATCCCAATCTTTCAGGAGATCACCAATGCTGCTGAGGACTGTTTGAGTCTTGATATACGTCGTCCTTCCGGAACTCAGCCAGACGCAAAGCTACCAGTGCTGGTCTGGATCTTTGGGGGTGGCTTTGAACAAGGTGCCACCGCCATCTACGATGGATCAAACTTCGTGGCGAGCTCTGTGAAATTGGGTATGCCAGTAATCTTTGTGGCCATGAACTACCGTCTCGGAGGGTTCGGGTTCTTGCCGGGCGCAGAGATCCTGAAGGATGGCTCCGCCAATCTCGGACTTATGGACCAGCGTCTTGCGTTACAATGGGTCGCAGACAATATCGCCGCATTTGGGGGCGATCCGTCCAAGGTGACCATTTGGGGTGAGTCTGCTGGCGCCATCTCAGCGTTTGATCAGATGGCCATATATGATGGCAATAATACATACAACGGTGCGCCGCTTTTTCGCAGTGCCATCATGAACTCCGGCAGCATTGTGCCTGCAAGTCCAATTGACGGCACGAAAGGCCAGGTTGTATATGATACTGTTGTTAGCAACGCCGGATGCAGTGGCGCCAGTGATACCCTCGAATGTCTACGCGGCCTGGATTACACCAAGTTTCTCAATGCCGCCAACTCGGTTCCGGGCATCTTGGGTTATAATTCTGTCGCCGAGTCATATCTGCCTCGTCCGGATGGCACGGTCTTAACTGAATCACCAGAACAACTAGTCATCCAGGGCAAATACGCCTCGGTGCCGTTCATCGTCGGCGACCAAGAAGATGAGGGCACTGTCTTTTCTCTATTTCAGAACAATTTGACAACCACCGATCATATAGTGGACTTTCTACAGAATCTATTCTTCTTCGACGCTTCCCGACAGCAGATTACGGACCTCGTCGCCACCTACCAAGATATCAAAACAGACGGCTCACCCTTCCGCACGGGATCCCTTTACAACTGGTACCCACAATATAAACGACTGGCAGCTATCCTAGGTGATATATCCTTTACCCTCACACGCCGGGCTTTTCTGAGCTACGCTCAGAAAGCGAAACCAGATGTTCCTTCCTGGTCCTATCTGTCGTCTTACGACCATGGACTTCCCTTCCTAGGAACATTCCATGGATCTGATGTTGTCCAGGTGTTCTACGGAATCCTGTCAAACTATGGATCCAAATCCCTACACTCATACTACTTGTCTTTTGTGTATGAGCAGGACCCCAATGCAAAGGCTGGAGATTACATGGATTGGCCACAATGGGGTAACAACCAGTCGCTGATGAACTTCTTCATTGATCGTGGTGCCCTCTTGCCGGATGACTTTCGTCAAGATAGTTTTAACCAGATCATGGCTGATCCTGCTGCATTCCATTTTTGAGTGGTGATTGCAAGAATATCCGATCGAAGGCTTGACTAATCATTTGCATATGAATTATATATTGGGATATATTCTAGCTAGCACCGTCCTTTTGGGATTTGGTCTACAGGGTTCTGTTCATAGAAAGTAGGTAGAATTCATCAATGATATTCGCAAGTTCTGGCATAAATTAATCTCCAAGCAGAGCTTATCATCAACACTAGCTGTCAGTTTATTTCCAACTCGCCGTCACAGTGGCTGTAGTTCCAGAACACCCAGTCGGCACCGTATACCGTCGGTCAGGGTCACTTTCCCACGTCACGGCTGAAGACCCGGCCGTCTTCTTGAGGAACTTATACTGGAAGGTTGTTCCGACGGGGAGGGTGACAGTCACCTGCCACAAGGGATTGGAAGAAGTATAACTGCTTGCAGACAGTGCGATAGCTTTACTAGTGCCCCAGGTGCCGAGTTGGCTGATGGAGCCTGAGATGTAGATATCCTGACCATAGGAAGTAGTCACAAGCTCCTTGAACAGAACCGGCAGGGCAGTGGCTTGGATACAGGCCGCCCCAGTACTAGTTGTTGTCGTACTAGTGGTGGCTGTGGCACTGGGAATAGATGAGCCGCATAGCCCGCTCTTGCTCAGTGAGGATGCGAGAACAAATACCCGCGGCAACCCAGATACCATTGGAACGGGGATGTTACCGCTGGAATCCACTGTGATAGATGTGCAGGTGTACATCTCCAGCAGCTTAGCACCGGATGAATACCCGCTCCCACGTAAAGACAATGTGTAGGAGGATCCAGAAGACCCAGAGTTAGAAAGCACCGTGATGACCGGCGAGCTGACGGATCCCTTATTCATAGCTAGAGTATTTCTGTCTTGATAGAAGGGGATATTCTGATAATCTGTCAGTCACTTTAACTAGAATGGCTTTTACAATACGTACCTTCGTCGTGATATAGGTCGAGTCTGCCGCGACAGCTGCTTTGCGGATCTTGTTCGTAGTTGCGATATATTGGTATAACTCTGCTGTGGTAGAGTATCCCGACAGCCACGTAGCTTCGCGGTTAGCCGGGTCATGTCCACCGCTATAATGCTGTTCCTGACCAGAATATACGATGGGAATACCGTCCGACAAAAAGAGGAATGAGATCACATTCTTCGCCTGTGAGTAGTCACTTGTGTAGCTATGATGGACATTCAGTGTCATGTATCTCTGAGAACTTTGAATGTCTTACCTTGGGAAACGTGGGTTGTCGTGATTCTCGATGAAATTGCCTAGGAGAGTTGAATCGGCACAATCAGAGGCCACGGTGCCGATCATGTTATACAAATCGTTAATGCTACCGCTGGAAGATTGAAACGCACGTAGCAGTGGGTAGTAGCTGGACAGTCAGCCTTTCTCCGGAAAGGAGGATGGCAATCATCTCACATAGGGTAATTCAGGACGCCGTCAATATAGTTCTGGTAATCGCAGGTGTAACCTGGGTCTCCATCGAAGATCTCCCCGACAGCATAGACACCTGCCGCGTCATTAAATCCAGGCCAGAAGGACTTTTGGACATGCTTCACGGTATCGACGCGCAATCCATCAACTGACAATGTTAGATCGGCTTTTAACATAACTATTAAACTTACTGGAGTAAGTAGACACCAAATCCCCAATCCAATTGTTCCAGATGGTCTGCACTGAGCCCTGGGTTGTGTCGAGATCTGGCAGCGAGACAATGGTGTCGCCAAGCCAACAATTCTCGACATTGGACTGGTCATCGTAGTTACTGATCAAACAGTAGGGGTGGAAGTAGGACGAAGAACTAAAGGGAGTGAAAACACTGTAATCCACTGTATTTCCGGCCCCAGCGTAGCCCTATTGGCGTATTAGAAAGGTCCCATTCCATTGTTCAAGACACCATACCATATGATTTGTCACGACATCAACCATGAGATACATGCCTCGAGCGTGCAGTGCCTTCGAGAGTGCCAAGAGGTCATCGGACGTGCCATGGTTTGGATTGACATCGTATCTAGTGAGGTTGGTGAGCAGGATTCCAGCACCAACCGTTCAATAATCGTACATATTTTGCTGCCAGTACCCATGGTAGGACGTTCCATCACCCGTGGTTTGGGAGAGCTGTTTTGTTACTGGAGTGATCCAGATGGCAGTAAAGCCCATTCCCTGAATGTAATCCAACTGGGAGTCCAGTTAGTATATAGATTCGGAGTGAAAGATTTAATATATACCTGGTTGATAATCCCCTGCCAACTGCCACCGCAATAAATCTAGTATGCGCTGTTAGTGTATCAATTGAGCATCCAGGATTAAAAATCGCACATACTCTGTCGTTAACGTTGCAGGTAGCAGTGACCGAATTGTCGGTGCGTCCGAATCGATCCGTCAACAGGAAATAGATCGATTGACTGCGCCATTCCGCGGGAGTCAGGCCCATAACCGTCTGCCATAGTAGTATGGTTGCTGTGAATATAAGATTCCTCATGCTTGCGGCCATGAATGAAGTGCGACTTGATGTTTTAGTGAAGTTTGGATCCTTGTACAAACCGACAAGGGGAGAAGTCAGACACAATTTATAGCCTCAACTTGCATGCTGCATACATAATACAGGTATGTCATGCGGGTAAACATAAGCTGGACTTTTGTTAACGGCGATATACAACCATATAAACTGTATTGTTCCAATCCAATCGGTTGAATGCGCTAGATGTAAAAGCTCCAATTTCCTTGGAAGTCTACTCCGCTGGACCGAGATGTCGAGTCAATACAACGAGGTGGAAGCGGATAATTCTCTGGCAAAGCAGGCACTCCCCGAAGCTGCAGGATACTAGCGAAACTAGCGTCTGCGTGAGTCTTAAAGAGGTTCATCTCCCCGGAGCTTTGCCTGTCTGCGGGGATTGTTCATGGTTCCACTTCTTCAGAACATAATAGAAGAACAAAAAAATATAACATCAAACTCACATGTAAGTCACTTCTAGTCATTCCCCACTAAATCGTTAGTTCCAAGACAGGCCTAGCGTGCTGGTGACGGAGATACTTGACCTGGCTGATTGGTGGCCATCAGCCACACCCCCCGGATTCTGCAATGAAAATGACAGGGGGCGGAGATTCAACGGGATTAAATATGGGAGATGAAGACTCGGCATCTTCCTGAGGTAATCAGTGCTTGATTCAAATCTGGTTGATCTAACCGATTGGGATGGAGATCAACGATCGGATAATAAGACCTGGCATGTGCCTCGGGAGATATTCGATCCACCTACTGAAGAGAGTAGTGATGGACAGAAAACTTGTAGAAATCACAATGAAGCTTTTCATTAGCGCTGGAACCAAATAGTTACTGAGCTAACGGTGATACAGCAGCCAAATGCCTTTCTCCGGAAGCCCCGGAGGCCATTTCTTCTGCAACCGTGTGCTGTCATGTAATAGTATTAATAGTATTATGCAATATATAATCCAAGTTCCATACAGGTGCATCGATCCAGTTTGGTGCCGCGACCGAATGGATTTTTAAGTGGCTGAAATCCCCGGGGCCTCATTACCGGCAGCCCCTATAAAACCCAGGTTTGACCCCCCACTATGATTTCAACCCAACTCACTTTCGGACCTGTTGAACCCTCAGGCATGCATGCTTGATTGTTTGATACAGACTGAGCCTTCTTTTGTTTGCTATTTGTTGTTTATGTTCAGATGGTTTGCAGGGTATATAAACCCCTGCATAATTAGTTTTAGCAATTAAGAATCTTTCTTCTACTTTTTCCCCCTCAGTAGTAATCTTACATAGATTGCTCATCAGGTTATGAAGCCCTTTTTCTACCTCTGAATCATTATTTCATCAATATCCATCAAGGATAGTGCTATAATAGTACTAGGTCTTGCTTTAGAGCTTTGTTTTTGAAGGGTAGTAGAAGATACTATACCTTAATTTGTGGTTATTCTATCAAAATAGCAACCTACCTACCTAATAACAACAACTAGTATGATGAAGAAGACGTCTTGGTTATTAACTAAGCTATCGGTCTACTAGATATTAGAACATTTAATCTTTATAAGATTACTCCTCCTCTTAAAGAAAGAGAGGATCTTAACAAATAGATCGATAAGGTTAAGAAGATCTTAGAGAGCTATAATTTACACAATTTGGTCAAACGATCGATCTCCTAGCCGAGTCGAAGAGACCCGAATAGCTAGAAGTAGAAGACTCTTTCTAAGTAAGTTCGTACTTAGATATCTAGTAGTTTAGATAGCGACTTAATAGAGGAAATTAATAGTCGGGGAAACCCGATTATATTTATAGATAAGTTTTTAGAGGAGATTCGGAAGTATCTAAAAGGTAAAGGTTATAGTGCTTTAAAGGTAGCGATAATAGCCTTCCGGTCTATCTTACGAAAGAAGTTTTTATTAAGTAATAAGTTTATTATTATATTAAAAGTAATATATAAAATATTAATAGATTTAAAATCTAGAATTTCGCCCTACTTTACTCTATAGACGATACTAATAGAGCTAATAGAGGTACTAGAGTTAAATAGCTTTATTATTATAAAGAATAATAAACTAAACGCTATTAAAAACCTAGTTACTACGATTACTATAATCGATTTCTATCGATATAATACGGCAATTTAGGACTATATTAAGTCTACTTCCGCCGATTCCTTTAGTATTATATTAGCGGTTAACAACGATTAATAACAACGTCAATCTAATAATCCTCCGAATCCTTCGAACCCTCCGAAACCTTAGAATCCTTAGAATACTTATTTAACGAATTTACCTCCGAAAGGTACGTCTCCCTAAGAATATATTAATAAATAGAGAGTATATAGACCTAAGAGAAGCAATAATAGCAATTATTCTTACTATAGGATAATAGGCTATAGTATATTGTTATACTAGAATTTATATCCTAAGAAACGTCCGGAAGGATAGGTTCTAAGACCTAAGATCTAGTTTTTTAAGAATAATAACAACCGTAGAGGCAATTCGATAAACCCTATAGAATTTAAATAGGATAAAGCTTAATAGGTCTAGGGGCTACTAATAGATAGGACTAAGTAGGTAAACCTTTCTATACCTAAGAGCACTAGCTTTATTATAATATCGATAGCTAGTTTGTTAACTAGTTTTAATCCTTCTTATATACTTACTAATTAACTTACGGTAAAATAAGATCTAGATAATATTAATAATATCGAGGGGTTTCTAATTTAATAACTAGATCAATTAATAATAGCTATTCAATTTGTGGCTATAATACCTAGATATCTATAGATTTTAGATATAAGTACTTTAGAGTATATCTATAGTAATCAATCTACCTTTCTAATAACTAAGAGATATCTAAAGGGATAAGAATATAAATAGTTAACCTCCGGTAATAAAAAGATTAAAGCTAAATACTATAGCTTAGTTCAACTAAGTTTTTATATTAATTATACTATAATAATATATTATTAGATTAGTATCTATTACGTTTACTAAGTAGGTTAATATAACCTCTTCTCTCTTAGTACTATAGAGAAGGAATTAGGAATTTAGTAGAATAGCAAGTCGAAAACCCTTTATAATAACGAAGATAGGGTGATCGGTTTCACTAAAGACTTTTATAAGGTACTATTTATTCAATTAGCCTCTCCCTCTCTAGGTACTACAGTGATTTCCGCGGAACTAGCCTATAAACATTTAGGCTATACCGGTTCTTATAAAACTAAGCTTAATTAGGTAGATCTAGATTATAATATTTAAGAAAATAAATCTTTTAATTATAAGGTATATAGCCTTAGCAAGTCTAAGCAGATTATATTAAGAGCTAATTAAGTAAGAGCTACAAAGGCTGCCTATATATTTTATATCAATCTATAGTCGGTTAATCCGCTAGGATATAACCTAGAGAACGGTAAGAATAATAAGCAATATATAATAGTAATCACTAATAATACAATACGTTATCGGTTTATATTATATCTTATAATAAAGGGTAAGGCATTACCGGTTCTATAACGCTTTATAGAAGATATTTACTAAAAGATAACAACTTAGACTTTTAAATAGAGAATTAATAGAGGGAGAGAGTTCTTTACCTTTATTAATTAGGTAAGAAATAAGACAATAATTATATCTATTTCTACTCCCTACGCCTATAAATAGAATAGCGTCTCCGAATTTATAGGCTATTATCTTCTCTAAATTATAAGGATAATAGGAATTAATACTAGTTCGCCGAAGGAATTATAGACTAAGGCTTTAAATACTACTTACTATATTATAAATCGTCTTCGAAGGAAGGGAAATAATATACTAGTAATCGCTTAAAGGAAGTAATTAAATATACGAACTCCCGATAATATAACTCTTTCTTTTCTATAGACCTAGTATACTAAGGCATATATTTATATTCCGAAGGAGAGGAGAATCTAGAGCTAAAAGATAGAGCTAAGGGCCTAGATAGGCTACCTTATCGGATACGAAGGAGACAATAGTTATATCTACTAAATTTATAATCCTAAAACTAGGAAGGTAATAAGGTATAGAGACGTTATTTTCTAGGAATAGAAATAGGGAATTCCTTACTTTAATAATCGGGATATTATCGTTAAAGGGGAGGTAATTGATAGCCCTTTAGATTCTAAGTAAGGAACTAGATTACCTATTATTATAGTATAACGTTCTCGATAAATTTAATAGGTTAATTAACTACTAAAGCTTAATAATTAATAATAGGTAATTAAGATAGATAAAGAAGAGAATAATAATAATTAAAGTATACATTTTACTACGCTAAAAGCGGGTACAAAGTTGATTTCTAGAAATTTGATATTTATATTATTACCGTCGGCACTATCTCCGGCATTATTATTACTAGACCTATTATCTACGCCTATACTAACTCCGCTATAACCGGTAAGAACTAGGTTTAGACGTTAATTAAACCTACTAAGACATTTCGAAGATAAAGAATAGGATAAATATAGTAAGGCTTTATCAGCAATTGATTTAATTAAGATAATAATAGGTACGGTAGCAATTAATATTCCCTAAGGTTTAAAGACCTAGCAAATTAAGATTCTATATAACCGGATAGAAGCATTAGATTTACTATAGAACGAGCTATAGTAGTAAGCGATAGACCTATAGGTTAAAAAGCTTAATCGTACTAAGGCCTATTAAACTATTAATAATCTACTAAAAGAAAGTACTATACTACCTAGTAAATAGGTTTTTAATATCAAATATAATAAAGAAGACTATATTACCGAGTTTAGAGCTCGATAGGTTATCTATAGTAATAGACAGAGACTAGGTTTCGACTTTAACGATACCTACGCTCCTATAGCACGGCTAGAAAGTATAAGACTATTCCTCTCTATAGTAATAATTCGGAATTTATTTTAGGAATAGATTAACTATACAACTACCTATCTTAATACCCTAATTAACGAGAGATACGTCTTTATAAGATCACCTATAGGGTATAAGATACCGGGTAAAGTTTGTATAATCAACTAGGCAATATATAGTTTACGTTAATTAGCTTACTTATAATATAAAACAATTAAATAATAATTAGAGAGTCTTAGATTTTAATAACTATCTAATAAAAGATATATTTTTTAGTATAAGGGGAAGAGTATATAGCTTCTACTATATATTAATAATACCCTCTATACTATAGTATCGAAGGAAGATATTAAATAGTTAAAGCAATCGATTACTTTTAAGATTAAGGTAATCGGGGAGCCTACTAGGTTTCTAGGTTACAGTCTTACTAGATCGGATTATAGTATCTAGATAGACTAAGCTACTTATCTTAAAGACCTCTTATAAACGGTAAGTATAGGTAGGGTTAGCTCGACGTACTTACTAATAAAGGCGTCCTATTAACCACCTTTTTCAATAAAGGAATTAATAACAAGTGGTTTAAGATTAACGACAAACGGTTCGATAATAAGATTAATTATTAAGACAGATATTAATAATAATTAATAAATTACGGTATAAGAGAAATCTATATATAGAGAAGACGTTAGTAAGATTAGCTAGTTAACTATAAGAACTAGGCTAGATATAGCCTTTGCCGTAAATCGATTATAAAGAAGAACTACTAACCTAAGGAAGTAAGATTTAGAAGCTTTATCTTAGCTTTTACGCTATCTAAAAGGCGCTCCGGATTATAGAGTTAAATTAGTAGTTAAGGAAGATAGTTTAATTGGCTACGTTAATTCTTCGTATAACGACTACGAAGATAGTAAATTAACTAAGGCCTACATTTTCTACTATACCGGAGTACCGGTTTTATAGAGCTCTCGGAAGCAAGATATTGTTACTACCGGAAGCACTATTATAGAGTATATTGCTTTAGATAGTACGGTACGGGAAGTATTATATCTAGTCAAAATCCTTTAATAGCTAAATCTTAAAATTAAAGATAAAGTTTAAGTCCCGATCTATACTAATAGCGACAATATAGTTACAATCTTAAAGAATAATGCTTTTAAAAAGAGCACTAAGTGGTTAGATGTGAAATACCACTTCGTGAAGTATGCCTAGAAGGCTAAATAGATTGATATTAGAGTCATTGATTCAAAGTTAAATCCAGCTGATGTATTGACAAAGGCCTTACCGAAGGTTGATTTTGAAAGATTAAGAGAGCAACTAGTTACGAAGAAAATTGAGAAGGAAATGACGACAAATTGATGGAATTTGATACTTGGAAATTGTTGATTTTATGTATGATTTTACTATGCAAACCAGATTGATTTTTATGATTTATTTTTGATACTCAGTCTGGGGGGGTGTGTTGAACCCTCAGGCATGCATGCTTGATTGTTTGATACAGACTGAGCCTTCTTTTGTTTGCTATTTGTTGTTTATGTTCAGATGGTTTGCAGGGTATATAAACCCCTGCATAATTAGTTTTAGCAATTAAGAATCTTTCTTCTACTTTTTCCCCCTTAGTAGTAATCTTACATAGATTGCTCATCAGGACCTCATCATGGTTTCTCGTTTTTGTATTGCCCTTTGGGCACTTACTCTTGGCCATGCTGTTGTGGCCGCGCCGCAGATATTGGCCCCTCGTGCGATGGGTACTTTGGATACCTGGTTGGTGTCTGAGAGCGCGGTAGCAAGACAGGGTATCCTGGATAACATCGGCTCGGCTGGTGCCTATGCTGCGAATGCAAAGCCGGGTATTGTAGTCGCGAGCCCCAGCACCTCTGACCCTGATTGTAAGTTATCTCATAGCGATTTATCGAACTCCCAACTAACCGAACCTATAGACTATTATACTTGGAGTCGCGACTCGGCCTTGGTGTTCAAAAATTTGATCGACATGTTCAAGAACGGTGACAGCGCATTGCTAGATGTTATTGAAGAATACATCAGTTCTCAGGCCTATATCCAGACGGTGTCAAATCCATCTGGAGCTCTTTCCGGCGGCAGCGGTTTGGGAGAGCCCAAGTTCAACGCTGATGAGACAGCTTTCACTGGCTCTTGGGGTCGCCCTCAGCGTGATGGACCAGCCTTGCGAGCCACAGCATTGATATCGTTTGGTCAATGGCTTATTGTATGAATTTCGAATCTATTGCCTTTTGCATTGCTAACCCATTTAGGATAATGGGTACACCACCTACGCGACCAACATTGTCTGGCCCGTTGTGCGCAACGACCTCTCCTATGTTGCCCAATACTGGAACCAGACAGGATTTGGTTAGTATACCTCAGACTTTAGTTATGCCCAATGCTAATACCCCACAGATCTCTGGGAGGAGGTTTCTGGCTCATCGTTCTTTACCATCGCGGCTCAGCACCGTGCCTTAGTGGAGGGAAGCACGTTCGCGAGCCAAGTCGGTTCCTCGTGCTCGTACTGTGACTCTCAGGCTCCGCAGGTTCTGTGCTTCCTACAGTCTTTTTGGACTGGATCTTACATTCTGGCCAACTTTGGTGGTGGCCGCTCGGGCAAAGACGCCAACACCCTGCTTGGCAGCATCCACACCTTTGACCCGGAGGCAGGATGCGACGACACCACATTCCAGCCTTGCTCAGCTCGGGCACTCGCAAACCACAAAGCTGTGACTGATTCGTTCCGATCGATCTACTCTGTCAACTCTGGTATTGCTGCAGGCAAGGCTGTTTCTGTTGGTCGATACCCAGAGGACTCATACTACAATGGTAACCCTTGGTACCTGTGCACTTTGGCTGCAGCTGAGCAGTTGTATGATGCGATATACACTTGGAACCGTATCGGTTCTTTGACAATCACCTCTGTCTCTTTGAACTTCTTCAAAGATCTTTACAGCTCCGCTGCGACTGGAACCTACCCCTCGTCCAGTGATACGTACTCTTCAATTGTGAGCGCTGTCAAGGCATATGCGGATGGATATGTTAGCGTTGTGGTATGTTGGATATTGCCATCAATTGCTGATTACCCCAATTAACACTTATCTTAGGAACAATACGCCCCATCTACTGGCTCTTTGTCCGAGCAATTCTCCAGGTCAGATGGCTCGCAACTCTCAGCTCGTGACCTGACTTGGTCCTACGCAGCCCTGCTTACCGCCAATGAGCGTCGGAATGCCATCGTTCCCGCACCGTGGGGTGAGACATCTGCCAGCAGTGTCCCTGGACAATGTCAATATACTTCGGCTATTGGTACTTTTAGCTCTGCGACAAACACAGCTTGGCCTGCCACCTTGACTAGCGGATCAGGCAGTGTAACCACCACCAAGACAACTACCACGACCAAAACTACCTCGACGACAACATCATGCACAACTCCGACCGCCGTTGCAGTGACATTCAAGGTGATCGCCACTACTACATATGGAGAAAGAATTAAGCTTGCTGGATCTATCTCTCAGCTTGGCTCTTGGTCCACAAGCAGAGCTATTGCACTCAGCGCATCCTCATACACTACGAGCAATCATCTGTGGTTTGTGACTGTGACATTTCCAGTGGATACTAGCTTCACCTACAAGTATATTCGGGTAGCGAGTGATGGTACCACTACGTGGGAGGGGGACCCTAACTTGTCGTACACTGTCCACACCACATGCGGTACCACAGCTGTCACCATTAGTGATACCTGGAGGTAATAATGTACAGGAAAGGGTTCAAAATCAGTTAGAACTGGAAGTTTGGGATACCTCCGTCCCGGATTGTGGTTTGGTTATTATATTATTGTATAATAGCATCATGATAATGGATATTATCTACGATCTTTCCAACTACAACTATCGCGTGAATTGTGAGGCATCGGTCCTTTGATGGAGCGGTCATTGTATGCCACAATATCTACAGCATATATATTTAGCCAGGTCATCTCTTAGTATGTGTTTCGTTACTATCTTCCATCTTTTTATAACTATGGTACTAGATTCCACATGGAATAGAATATCCCGCTGATTGATGCGTATCTTCTGGCAAAGTCCTGGTACCTATATAAAACCACACGTATTTCACTGAATGTTCAGACCCCTGATTGCTAGGGCCGACCATCAATAATTAGTTAATCGGGTCTTCTTTACTTTATATTAATAACTAGGTGTCTCTGGAATAAGAGTCAAGTTACCTTTGGCATCTCCTCATATATTGGTTACACCCTTGGTCAAAAGGTAGACATGCCCTACCATGAAGTAATGGCACTTATGATAGTCAGAATAGTGCCCTCTCGTGGTGCGTTTCCTAACTGGGACAATATGGCAGATGGGTGAATGTCTACCTCTCTCCACCAAGAAGGAGGGACGATCCTTATTGACAAGATCTTAGCAATCGGCAGGTCGGGAATCGATAGACGAACACTAGATTTGATGGCGCGCAATAAACAACCCGCCGAATGACGCCAAAAGCGAACAACCAAGGGAAACAACTGCAGAACGTTAGGGGAATGTACCCAATATAACCGAAGCCATGAACTCACGATATGTATGTCTAAGTCCCGAGATATAACAAGCCACTACAATCTCCCGCAGCTGGCCAGTTAGGTGCGCGATATAATTCGTATCGGCCATCGCACGTTGAATAACCTAGAGCAATTAGAAGCAAGACCAAAGATCCACAACAAGGAAGTACTAACCTCCTCAGAGCCAGGCCCGTGGACATTTAGCCTCAGCTGCCGCTGGAACTCCATCCCCAGAACGGAGTTGGATGTAGTCACACCAGCCGTCATGGAGAATCCCACAATAAGCATATATCCTGCCGTTGCCATGGCGATTTCCTCAGCCGGCAGCATAGCAGACATGGCGATAAACGAGGATGCCCCTGCAATTCCCGTCCCAAGTCCGCCAGGGAGGATAAATAGCGACTGCCAGAAGCCGCTGTGTCCATCCCAGCGGAGGTAGAGAAGGAGGTAGGAAATACCGGCAACTAGGCCCGCGAGGACGAGGAGCATTTTGAATTGACCTGTGTGCCGGATGAATATTCCTGCTAGCAGTCCGCCAAGAGTATTTCCTACCACTGCTGGAATGAGATGCACGCCCGCTGCTGTCGTTGATGCCCGCTGAGTTACTTGGAAGTACAGTGGAACGGAGAACATTAGTCCCAGTTGTGCGGTGATCTGGAGTGCACCGATTATGTATGCTATTGCGACGTTTGTGCGTCGCAGAATGCGGAGGTTGAAGATCGGTTCGCGGGCAACGTAGGCTTCCACGAGCACGAAGGCGATGAGGAGTGATACTCCGCCGCTTGCTAGGAGGACTGTCCACCATGAGCTCCATGGGAAGGACTTCCCGCCTTGGTCGAGGAGTGTGGTCATGGCGATAATGGATGATCCTAGCAGTGCCGTTCCAAGGAAATCAACTTTGGCGAGTTTGCTTCCCTTGGAGGTTGGTTGTGGTCTCTCACTGACGTTCAGTTTCACAATTACGAGAGCCGCAGCCAGTGCGAGGAATGGAGCTTGTAGGATGAACAACCTAGGAATTTGGTTAGAAGTTACATTCAGCTCTCAAAAAAATAGAGACTTGCCATCTCCATCCAATAGTATCGCTCAGCCAACCACCCAGAGGACCTCCAAGACTACGTCCAAGTGTCATGGCGATATTCACGTAAGCTCTCCAAGTAGCGACCTCGCGCTTGGGCACGATATCTGTGATAATAATGGAGCTGATGGTCATGATTCCTGCACCACCCATTCCACTGATTGCGCGTCCAAAAGTCACCACCCACATGTGTGTTCCGAGGCCACTATATAGGGTCAGATTTGGATTTCGGCCATTGAGTTAGGAGTTTCCCTACCTCATTATACAGCCCACTGCGAATAACAAATACGAGATGAGCAACATTGGCTTGCGACCAGAGATATCACTCAATTTTCCATACTGAACGACAATTAGAACTTGACATATCTCCGGTATGGATTGTCCTCGCTCACCATTGGTTGTGCAGCACAAAGACCCAACGTATAGCCCGTTGAGAGCCAACTAGCATCGCGTAGACGATTAAACTCGGAGGATATGCGGCCTGCTGCCGCCATGACAAGTGTCGCATCGGCATTAGAAATAAATTCACCTATACTCGATTAGATCTCCAGTCTCTGTGTGATGTCAATTTTCCTACCAAGCAGCAGCACCGCGATAATTGTTCCAACACCCGTCAACGGCTTGAGATTAGGCTCTATATCGGGTCGCTGGAGTAATGGACTCTCTTCGTCTTGGGCATGGCCATTCGCATCGATGCCTTGGGTCCCGAGGATACCTGGTGGTACCGGCTCAACCGTGTCACTTTCTATATTGGCCATGTTGTAAATTAAAGAGTCGAACTGGAAAAGTATATACAGAGGAAATTCTGGACCAGTGATAAATATTATTCGAAGCAGCTTTGGAAACTAAGTTGTGCTCATTGGAGTTATAAAGCACGCCATATAGTTATACAAAAGATCCACTGTTATACTTGGTTTTGATATTCGCTACAAGAATAGTCTTAGGCCTAGTTACTTGCACGGTTTTTAATTGTCGATTTAATCGTCTTTTTGAAGTCTTCTATTCATATTTCTAGATATGTTGTTGGTCCAGATATCCCTGTATAAGTATAAGTTCACATCTTCCCCTGGGCATATAGTTCCCAATTGGGTTTAGCCTGTTTTAGAAGCCGGAAGGTCCCGTTCGCAGGGTGGAGCGGTACTTTGCGTCGAGGGACACGCCAGTAGACCCATTTTCTGGAGGAGAGTGGGTGGTTATCAAGGCGAGTTCGAAGTGAGGATTGGTGGTGGAGAGCCAGAGTGGTGTGCATTCTAGGAGTATGCAAGTGCGTTGATAGAGAACGCGTAGAAAGTTCACCTAGGCAAAGAAACATCTTGTAACATCAACGAAACCCATGAAGCATTAACCAATTAATTTAATATAAACTAAAAAATGATTGAATACAAATCACGGATTTTATCGCCAATGGTATTGTTTTGGACTGCTACAGCTTCCAATTAAGAAACGTAAGCGTGTGCTAACAGGTATATATATATGGTAAATACTTATATGGCACCTAGATAGCCGACCGGTATGGTAAATAGTATGCTGTAGGAAAAAAGAATATCAATGAAAATATCGGCAATTGTACTCCGTGGACTCCGGTCTTCGATTCGGATGAATTTATTCTTGTAACCAAGTTATGCTCATTGTGATAATAAAGCACGCCATCCAGGGGATTGATAGACCCCGTTTGGTTGTAAATTCTGTACCGCCTTCCTAAACGGGTGCGACAACTGGATTCTGCCATATATTCTGCCAGTGCAGAGTTTTCTGCCATTTTTTCTGCGACCACTATAGGAATTCTGATCATACAAATTTAACGTGCATTTGTATACTGATATAGGTTGAATATGCTTCTTATATAGGTCCCCGCGCGCGGTTTCCACGTCCTCCACCCTGTCCTCGGCCTACACTGCTGTTAGGTACTAGGTTGACATAAAAGCGGTGTAAAATATCGAAGGCGGTGATGACCGCGGTAGGCAGAATCTCGTGCTTTACCTGATTAGGGAGGCGGTAACTAAATTATCTTGGCAAGGGGCGTTCTATCAAACTTAAAATATTAAGACGGCACAACATAACTACCGAGGTACACCCTGGACTAGAAGTGAGAAGAGTAGAAGTAAGAATAAACTCTTTGATGTATAGTCTACCTAATACTTGTACTCCGTACAGTTATACAGACCACTTTATAGTAAAGACAGACAACATACAACATACAACATACAACATAGTTGGATGTTCTGATCTTTCTAGGAGTAATCTCCACTCCGCCATTAAAGCCATCTATGGCATCATCTCCATCTCCACATTTCACTCTTTGCTGAGAACTTCATTTGAGTTAACTAGTTAACTAGCTAGTTACTTTGTACTCCGTACTTTCAAGTTATTTTCTATGGAGGTAATTTCTCACATTTCAACCACCTCATAATGAGATTAATCGCTGCCCTTGCCGCCCTCATCGTCGCCGAAGGGGTGACTGCCCTCGATCTCCAATCCATACTCAAACACAGCGAAACACAATCGCGTAAGCCAAATATCCTCTTTGTGATAACCGACGATCAAGACCTTCAACTCGACTCCATATCCTACACTCCCCTAATCTCAAAACACGTCCGCGACCAGGGCACCTTTTTCCGTAACCATTTTGTCACAACAGCCATATGTTGCCCGTCGCGTGTGAGTTTATGGACCGGTCGCCAGGCACATAACACAAATGTAACCGATGTTCACCCACCCTATGGCGGATATCCTAAATTCGTCGAACGCGGGTTCAACGATGATTTCCTCCCACTTTGGCTGCAAGGGGCGGGATATGATACGTATTACACCGGCAAAATGTTCAACGCACATACCGTGGACAACTACCACAGCCCGCACATCAATGGATTTAACGGATCCGATTTCCTTCTCGACCCTTATACTTATTCTTACTTCAATTCGACTTACCAACGAAACCATGAACCACCTATCAGCCATGAGGGTGAACATACTATCGATGTGATTACGGGAAAAGCACTAGGTTTCCTCGATGACGCATTGGCCGGCGAGAGGCCCTTCTTCCTGGCTGTGTCGCCCGTCGCGCCGCACTCGAATATCGATCCAGGCAAGGCTTACATGTCCGCGCCCATCCCCCTCAAACGACACGAGCATTTGTTCCAGGATGTGAGGGTGCCTCGCACAGCAAATTTCAATCCGGACCAGGTAAGCGCAGCCTTGGTTGAAATGAGTGTGTTTGTGATGGCCCATTTTGACTGATGTTTTTTTTTTTTATACGCAGCCAAGTGGAGTTAGTTGGATTCGCGATCTGCCCATGCAAAACCAATCGGTAGTCAACTATAACGATCACTTTTATCGTTCCCGTCTACGTGCCCTACAGGGTGTTGATGAATTGGTGGATGGGCTTGTCACCCGACTGGAGGAGAGTGGCCAGCTAGATAATACTTATATTATCTATACCTCGGATAATGGGTTCCATATTGGCCAACACAGACTCCTGCCTGGGAAGACTTGCGGGTTTGAGGAGGATGTTCGCGTTCCCTTATTCATTCGTGGACCTGGGGTTGCGAAGGGAAATGTGCAGGACGCGGTAACTACTCATGTGGACTTAGCGCCGACCCTTTTCCATCTTGCGGGTATTCCCGCGAGGGACGATTTCGATGGGACTGCAATTCCCGTAACACCTGAGTTTGGTGGTGAACGGCATGAACATGTTACAGTAGAATATTGGGGTTCTGCTGTTGTGGAAGGCGCTTATAGCGGTATTGGTAAGTCCAGGCAGAATTCATCATGGTCATTATGGAATGCGATACGTGATACTAATTCCAAGACAGGCCCCGGAGGCTCAACTATAATCCCGAACAACACCTACAAATCCATCCGCTTACTCGGAGAAGGATATAATCTATACTACTCGGTCTGGTGCAACAATGAACATGAACTGTACGATCTGTCGGTGAGTAAATCGTACCTCGGTTCGTTATCATACCAACGACTAATCCCTTTACAAGACCGACCCGTATCAGATGAATAATCTATACCCGACCATACGCCTGACCACCCCCAGGGGCATATCAATGAGCCGCACATTCTCGGTCGCACCTTGGATCAGGCTATCAATCGCCTCGACGCTCTTTTGATGGTTCTCAAGTCTTGCCAGGGTGCGACTTGCATCCGGCCTTGGGATGTCCTCCAACCGGTAGACCCTGTTAGTACCCTACAAGATGCTCTGCATGAGGAGTATGATGGGTTCTATGGTGCACAACCTCAGGTCTCATTTGACTGGTGCGATGCGGGATACATCGTTGAAGCTGAGGGTCCGCAACTGCCGTTGACTAGTCGACATGGCGTGTCTTGGGATGTGTGGGTGTAATGAAATACATTTGGTTCTAGATTGTAAATAGTGATGAAAATTGGATATACTCAAGTTCATCCAGTAATTCAGTATTTAGTTTGTAAATTATGTAGGCAACGTATGCAGTAGCAACCTTGGAAGTATGAGCATCCGAAACAACCTAGCTATAGCCAAAGTCAAAGGAAACGCTTGTCAAATAGAAAGAAAGGATTATTTGCATAATCTCCATATGATATATCAGAGACTGATACCAAATTCCAAATGCTCGGCAAATTCCATCGTCAGATTCACTGTGATTGCGCCATATCTCCCTGTTTCGCGACATCAAAGAGAAAGAAAAAAAAACGGATTGGCGCGCATTCTAGATGACCTTTAGCTGATTTCTAGCGGATTAGCCTACGCAGTCCAGTCTATAAGAGTGGGCGATTATCCGGTGTCGTGAATTCACCAATCTAGGGGTTATCTCAGCATACTTGTTTTGTTTATTTCTTTCCTCTAAATCGCAAGATGGCAGACCAAGACAGCTTCGATGAGAAACACAAAATCAGCCACCAGGTCATCGACTCACCTTCGACTGAGCCTGATCATGGTATCGTCAAAGACTGGGATAGCGAAGAGTCGGCCGTTCGACGAAAGTATGTACAGTCCTCAGAGCGCATCGACTATAAACAGATCACTAACAAACTCCACTCAGAATCGACTTCATACTCATTCCTATTCTTGCTGTCGCCTTCTTCGCCTTACAAATGGATCGCGGGAATATTAGCGCCGTTTTGACATCAAGTATCACAAAAGATCTCAATATAACAACGAACCAAATTAATATCGGATCACAACTACTCTCCGCTGGTATTGTTCTATCGGAGATCCCATCGAACATTATTATGCAGCGCATTGGGCCTCGCATCTGGTTGTCAGGTCAATTGTTCGCTTGGGGTTTGGTTGCGACCTTCCAGGCCTTTGTTACCTCCTTCCCCGCGTACCTGGTTACGAGGATTTTGTTGGGATTGTGTGAGGGTGGTTTTATACCCGGTATGGCAATCTAGATCTACGCTTGGATCATCGACTAACAATCCGTAGGTGCTTTATACTACCTCTCTACCTGGTATAAGAAGGACGAGACTAGTCTTCGCACGAGTCTCTTCTTCTATGGGCAGATGTTCGCATCGGCTACATCGAGCCTAATATCTGCTGGTCTGCTCCAGCTGAATGGCACCCATGGCATGGAGGGATGGAGATGGATCTTCCTCGGTAAGTGTGGATCAAGATTATATATGTTTCTGCCGGCTCGAGCTCGTCTAACGAACATTCTAGTTGAGGGCTTAATCACCCTGTTCATCGCAACAGTATTCACTCTCCTCGTGCCTCCATCTGCGGGAGACGGGCGTCCATTGATCGCCTTCGGCCGCTGGAGCTACTTCACTGAGCGCGAGTCGCACATCATCCGCAACCGCGTTCTGCTAGATGACCCTCGCAAAGCCAAAGGCCATATCCAAATTTCTGGCTCTGATATCTGGAAGACCGTCAAACAACCCTGCATCCTGCAACACGTTTTTGTGACTTTGGTCTCCATGACCGGCTTCACGGGTTTGACTCAATACACACCCAGCATGATCAAAGGGCTGGGATTCGGTGCCGTCAAGGCGAATGCCTTGGCTTCGGTTCCGGTCTATTGTGGGATGGTCTGGCTGATAGTGCTGTCCTATGCTGCGTGAGTGCTTTCTATGACCAATATAACAATCAAACAGATTCTAACTCCTGGCAGTGATAAAACAAGACACCGTGGACCGTTCGTGCTCTTGGCGATCACTTGGAACGTGATTTCCTACGCTTGTCTTCGTACAAGTAGCCCCCATGCTTCGCCCTGGCACCGGTATGGAGTTATTGCCATTGCTAATATCTCCTATTGCAGCATGCAGTAAGCTCCCTGCCCCAAGTATCTATAACCCGCTCTGACCCAAACACTAGCATCTTAAATGTCGGATGGCTGTCATTCTACTGCCTCACACCCCAGGAACGAAGCGTTTCCATGGCGTTGGTCGTCATGGCTGCTAACTGTGCTGGTATCGCTGGCTCGCAGATTTTCCGAACATCCGATGCCCCGAAATACTTGCATGGTCTTACTGCCATCTGTTCTATTGCTGGTGCCTCATGGGTGCTCGCTTTAGTGCTTGATGTTCAATATTATTTCCACCGGCAAAAAGCGGTTCCTTCGGATAATGTGGAGGGGAAAGCTTGACGATATTGCCGATAGATGGTCATGGACGATGATGGATGGATTATTTACATATATGAATAATCATGAAGATTCCCCACTAACATACCTCATCAAATCAAAAGCATTTCCATTCTTAAGTCAATTGATCCTGGCCAATGTAAGAACAAGCTTGTCAAAAGCCGGCATAAACAAGGGGCTTGGCGTTCTTTAAGTCCGTAGGTCCGTGGATTACAAGCAGTAAGCATCTTAAATCCTGAGTACACCTGGGCATATAGTTACCTATTACCTACAACATAGATATGTACATTTGTACATATCTATGTAAGTTGATGTTTATATTTCGGACATACACCTGATATCCATCAACAGTATCACATATTCCCCCTAAGCGATTCCTGACCTACTTAGTTATTCGCCTCCAAAAGAAATTTCTTCGGACATAACTTAGATTAAGACCGTGATTACAATCCACTCAATGGCCATCCACTCCACCATAATCCACTTCGCGGGTCAAGTGGACCTTTTCTTCACTTCGATGATCATGTCGCCACAAATCGAACCCCGTAAGAACCCTCCGGGACGGAGCTCGATCTCTCCGCGTAGGTGGTTTTAAAGGAAATGAAGGACCCTGTAGGAATCGCTGGTAGATCACATCCATTGAATTGAATCCCAATTTTATACATCTTTATACATCTTTATACATTCCATTATGTCTTCCACCGATTACAAGTTCGAAGGCTGGGTAGGCCTCGGCCCCGAAGCTGCCGAGGGAAAGATGGTCTGGCAGGAATTTGAACCTAAGCCCTGGGAGGAGACCGATATCGATATCAAGGTCACTCACTGTGGTATCTGTGGCTCGGATTTGCACACTCTGCGCAGTGGATGGGTAGGACATCATCACTCTTGAACAAACAAGTTCTGAATTGAATCACGTTGCTAATTACCATCTTTCTGCTTCCACAGGGACCCACCAACTATCCTTGCTGTGTTGGCCACGAGGTCGTCGGAACTGCTGTCCGCGTCGGATCCCAGGCTAAAGGAGATATTAAGATCGGTGACCGTGTCGGTGTCGGTGCGCAGAGTGGCTCATGCCTGAATAAGGATGGCGACTGTGAATCTTGTGCCTCGGGTCTCGAACAGCACTGCAGTAAAATGGTCGGCACGTACAACGGTACCTATGCCAACGGTGGCAAGTCGTACGGCGGTTACTCTACATACAACCGCTCTCCCTCGCACTTCGTGATTAAGATCCCCGATGCTATCTCCTCTGCCGATGCTGCGCCTATGCTCTGCGGTGGTATTACTACCTATTCGCCTCTTAAGAGGAACGGCTGCGGTCCCGGTAAGACTGTCGGTGTCATCGGCGTTGGTGGTCTCGGCCACTTTGCTATTTTGTTCGCCAAGGCGCTCGGTGCTGACCGCGTCGTCGCCATCTCCCGCAAGTCTGATAAGAAGGAGGATGCACTGAAGCTCGGTGCGGATGATTTCATCGCTACGGGTGAAGATGAAGACTGGGCTACCCGCCACGCTAGCTCACTTGACTTGATCATCTCTACTGCCTCCTCTTCTAAGATGCCTATTGTCCAGTACTGTGGACTTCTGCGTGTCCGTGGTACCTTCATTCAGCTCGGTGCCCCCGAGGATGGCGCTCTTGAGATCCCAGCTTTCGTGCTCATCATAAAGAGTCTCAAGCTCGGCGGCTCTTTGATCGGTAGCCCTGATGAGATTCGGGAGATGTTGGAGTTGGCTGCTGTCCAGGGTGTCAAGCCTTGGATCCAGGAGCGCCCAATGAAGGATGCCAACCAGGCCATCGTTGATATGGACAATGGTGATGCTCGTTACCGCTATGTTCTCACGAACGAGCAGTAAATCGATCAATTATGAATGAGTGATGAGTATGTGAGAGTTTAGTTCAAGTGATGGGCGTTCAATGTATAGAAGCAGTTAAATAGGAGTTAGAACGCAATTAGACGTTTTGTATATATTCCCTTGACAGAATGTCAATCAGTAGAAACTCATAAATTTGTCTGTTTGCTGCCCAGGTGCCATTCCTCGCGATGTCATCGCTTAATAATTTGTTTGAACTCCCGAGGTAATCAAGGCTGCTTTCTCGAAGCAATTACTTTTCCTTCATACTCTCACGGCTTGCTGGAAAATGTTGCCGGAGGTGAATTTTCCACTAATCTTCCTTTCATCTCGCCTTCATGTATTTGTGGCTATCCGTCCTCATTTCCAGGTCCAACAAAGATCACATACATTCAAGCATTTCCAACAGATCATAATCCCAGTCGACAAAATCAACACCTTTAAAAATGGGCTTCGAATATGGTTGTATGATGGGAATAGCTTCAATATGCGGTGTAACAAGGCAGTATAAATTCAGGCAGCATCAGGCATCAATATCATTACAAACCACATCCGACTAACTATACGCCTGCGTCAACCTAGCAGCTCCAGTCATCTTTCTTCTAACAAACTCCAATATGATTCCAATAAAAAGCCACCATCTCCCCCTCACATGACGAGTCGAGCAACTATCTCGTCCCTTTTTGAAAAAATGCCCTTATCAGAACCCCGCCAGATCAAGAAACCGCGATTATCACTCAGTTGCATCGTCTGTCGACGACGCAAGGTTCGCTGCGGTCGCGAACATCCAGAATGTGCCAATTGTGTGCGCATGAAAGAGAATTGTGTCTACAGGGCCATTGTCCGGGATGAGTCCACCGGGCGTGTACGACCTGTATCGGCCCAAGGCGGAGACCCTAGAGATTCTACAGATGCTCACCTTGACCTCCCTTGGCCGCATTCGGGCCGACACGCCAATCCGCCATATCCCGGGAAACATTCCAGACCTCCTTCCCGTCCTTCCCCACATCGACAAGAACCATATCAGACAGTTCCAACAGTTCGTTCATGGGAAGAGGCTCTCCAACTCCCCCGTTATGGTGATGTGAGCGTTCCTCAGATTGGTGGTAGCTCGACAACCCGGGAGCCTTCCACTGTGCCATCAACAAACTACTTCCCGTTCCTCAACGATTCCCTTTGCCGTGATTATTTGAGCATACAACGAGGTGGCCGCGTGAGATACATTGGTCGGACTTTCTGGGGGTTCGTTGCCGGAAAGGTGAGTTTTGACTTGGGGGGAGACAAAAGGAACTGCAAGCTGCGACTACATATATCGCCCGATAAGAGTATAACTGACCTCAATTGATCCTCCCGTAGGAGAGTCTGAGCGATGATTTCTTTGACAAAAACCGACACGCCCACCCCGATCTTCCCCTTCCACATATATCCTCTATGGGCATGTTTAATCTCCTACGGTCGCTACCCACCAAGCCCGTGAGTGATGCCTTACTCGAGACTTTCCTCCTTGCTGTGTGGCCACTTGTGCCACTTCTACACCCGCCTTCCCTACAGACAGACTATGACGAGTTCTGGGATTGGTGTCGGAATAGCGAGAGCGCTTTACCGTCAGCTAAACTTCGCGATGATCCTACCTTGATATGCCTTCTCTTTGCAGTCCTCTATTGTGGTGCATCTGCCGCGCCAGCAGTCACCTGGACGCATCCCAACCTGCAGGGCCTACAGAAGGAGACGACAGTGAGCCACCTCAAGTCGGCATATACGACGAGTCTTTCTCTATGTCAGCATCTGGAACATCCAACGTTAAATACACTGGTTTCGACTTTGCTCACGACACCGTTCCTGGACCGGCCATTCGAGCCCATGTGTAGTCTGGTTCATATAAGCACGACGGTGCGCATTGCCCAGACTATGGGTTTACACCGGGAGGGAACATGGTCTGCGTTGAGTCTCACTGATAAAGAAATCCGACGTCGGGTCTGGTGGCACATTGTTTGGCTCGATGTGCAGTCGAGCATCTCCACGGGTCTGACCCCCTGTTGTGGGAATGAGCCCTTGGGGGCCGTGAGCATGGTTGACACTAACCATGATGAGTCCAGCTATATCCCTGCTGGGCGTTCCCCGGACACTGACTCTGTGACTAATGAGCCATCGGTGGCTATGCTATACGCCACCGGACGCTTTCAGACTGCTCGATTACAAGCGAGGATTGTGGCGCACCTACAGAGTGCGCAGGGACCAATCCAGGATGGATTTGGCGAGCTGGCCAGCGACGCCAAGGAGCTTCTACGGAATATCGACTCAATTATCGCGCGCGTTCCTACACAGGGGATTCCCGAAAAGGGGTACATCCCATCGCGTCTGGCTAATGCATGTCCGACCACGCATCCCTCGTTATACAAGGATGATGGAAGCCAGCCGACCGTCTTTGCGGCATGGACGCGAATTATGCTAACATTGATGAAATCGGAAACTTCCATCTTGCTCCAAAAGCCATTTCTGGGACCCCCAGATAGTATGAATGCGCAATCACGCAAGTCATGGACTAGGTATGAATTATTTCGCCCTACGTCTTATCCCTATCCCGCATAACCTACTACATATCCCGCTGCATATCCTCTTCGTATAGCGAATCCTGTCCAGCTTGTGTAATTATCCATTCACATTTGCTTTTCATTGCCATATTGTTATGACATATTTATTAACACGCGATTTGACCGTCCAGCATGGCGCAGCTCTGCGTGGATTATATGAGTATTTACTTGCAGCTGTATCAAGCACCTGCGTTCTCCCCATACGCGTGGTTCTGCTCCAGCCACTACGGGCCTCTCCAATGCGTATTCATCACCCTAGTATACCTTCATTCGTTCCAGGAGTCTGGAGAGACCCCGCTCGCCAGATATTGCGTTGATGAGGTTATACAGCACTGCATGGCCCAGTATCAAGCTCCAGATTCATCCTCCACGAGGATCAGCGCCGGCGATACTGATTCCAATTCGAGCAAGACGCACCTGCCATTGGTCATTCAAATTCTCGCTGACCTTCATGAACGCCTCGACTCATCTCTCGGGGCTGAAGACCAACCCCCGCTTCCATTGGACGTGATCCAGCGTTAGACCCGCTATCCTACGTCGCACCTTGCTACCAAGGCGTCAGAGTTACGCGCGGCACCCCACCAGCCATCCGATGCATTCGCTTCCACGACTCGCACAAACCCAATTTTGAAACCCTATCTATGACTACAGGAGCTCTCCGGTGGTTTCTGGTAAGAGACCAGGCCCGCCCAACAACGTCTTTGTGGACGAGAGTGACTCGGGCTTGGATATGGACTTCCTTGCTACGATTTCGGATCTATGGGCATGGTCCTTGTCATTGGTTCTTGAACTGGACAATCTCCGCACACATCCTGATAATATAACGCTTGATGACCGTGGCCTGCATGAAGGTCTCGATTTCCCCGCCGTAATAGCGCAATGAGACATGATCTTCTGTTTGCATTTCATTTTCTTATCATAAAGAAAAGAATAAATGTGTAGATCATGCTTCCCCTAATTACATGATTTGACCTGGAAGGACCCCACGCGAGCCTGTATCAATCTATCATTATCCCTTTACAGACATAGCTACTGCATAACGAAGCACAAATACTTTTGCGAGAACTCAAATGTACACAGGCGCCTCCAAGCACTCCGGTACGGTCATTTCCTTCCAAGGTTCGCCGTGTAGCTTTCTAATCAGATTCCGCGGACTGACTACCTTGGAACTGCTGCACGGTGTGCGCGCTGTCAGCTTCAATGTCGACTTTAGCCAAAGTATACTATGTATCCCGCCATCGGCCGGATTATGCAAGTCAGTCGGCCTTGTGGCAGCTGTCCTCGGACCCTTCACGCTCGGCCCCACGGCTTGTGGCGTGGCATACTGGCAAAGGATTCCAGAACTCAGCCTGTGCGAACTCTTGGAGAATAGTCTCTGCCCTCGCAGCGGAGCGGGGAGAAGTACTTGTGCTTCGCCATGACCAAGTAGCCCGGCAGGGTAGTCTGCAGACGTTGAACAGCAAGCAAAGTTGCATGGAAGGTGAGCTTACTACACGCGATCCTCGTTCGCCGGGCGACCGGCTCAGACTCCGGATAATGATGCTACACAGGTTCTCCTTCTCTTGGCGACAGCCGGCTTCACGCTATCACAGCGCCGTACGCATTATGACTTCCGCCATGCCATTGTTGCTGATTCCGTTGCAAACGCCATCGCTACCTCGATGATCTCGACAAGGATGTGCCAAATCGGTGGGCCATCAACGACCGAATTGGAACCGAGGTGTCACCCACTTCCTGGCCATCTACATTTCCCATCTATCTGCTATGAGCAACGTTCACTCCCATTTATACATAACATTACAATAGTTGGAAGAGATTCGTGCTAAATACTAAAGCCTTAAGGGATTCTATCTGGATTAGGTAGACAATCGATCAACAACCTCCCAGGAACAATCGATCAACAACCTCTCAGGAACACTCGGAGCACTCTCCGGGTAGTCTATTTGAACTCCGCAGGAAGGGTTGTCAATGTGCCTATCTCGGCAATTGTTTCCTCCCATAGTTTCTTCTGGATCTCCTGACCCACCGGTGACTGGATGAACGCCGTTTTACTGTAGGGGAAGATGCATTAGCTATTGGCAAGAAAAGAAAAAAGAAAAAAGAAAACAACTACTTTGTAGGAAAGGATGCAAGAAATCACTTACTCAGCGATAGTCTTGTCACCTAAGAACTTGCCATGAGACTCGGGGCCTACCACTAACGCACTATGCAGGATGATCCAGACACCCACCTCGACAGGCCGGGCACGGAACGACTTGACAGCATTTACAATCAAGCGCAAGTGCAGGGGGAGAATATCACTCATGCTGGTATTGACCATGCCTGGACACATCATGTTGATGATGACTTTCTTGGGATCCAGCCGCGGCGCCAGACTGTACATGAACAACACGCAAAGTAGCTTCGAGTCCCCATAGCGTTGAAACGGGACAAACGCCTCGTCGTTGTCCATGTGCGCAAGCACATCTTCACCGGGCTTGATAGGAGACTTCTTCTCGAGGCTTGGGGACTCGTGTGCGCGACTGCCAACCCAGCTAATGCGTGCAGGAGAGCCGGTCTTCTCCGCACCGGCCTCGAGATACGGCAGGAGTTCGGCGATCAACAAAACATTGGAGTAGTAATTGACCTGAGTGGTTCGGTCATGGCCGCTCGGGCTGCGTTCCAGTTTCAGCAGACCTATACCCGCATTGAGAATGAGTAGGTGGACCACCGGAATCTCCTCGCGGAGCTGCTTCGTGAAACATTGGACGCTCTCGTAATCATCGACGTCAAGTGCCATGACCTTGATGGTCGGGATAGGATGATGAGTTTGAATGTGACGGTCCTTACGGAGGGAAGCTGCGCAGGCCTCACCCTTGGCGACATTGCGGACGGCGAGAACCACAGTCGAGGTGCGGAGTCGCAGTAACTGTTTGATGGTTTCCAGACCCATTCCGGCGCTGGCACCAGTAACGACGACAGTTTTACCCGTCAGATCAATACCCGTAGGCAAGGGATCGACTTTCGGCTGGAGGATGTTGACCATGATTGGAGTTGGAAGTTGGAAGTCAGTGGATATGGGAGAATTACCGCGGCAGAATTAATAGAAGAGAAGAAGAAGGAATATCGAGGTAATCATACTGAAGTGACTTTTGGTTCCACGAGCTACCCTGACGTTAGTTAGTTGTTTGATTGTTCAGCACTTGGGCATCTTGATGGGTGACTCAGCATTCGGCCGACGCCAACCCCAAAAGGGAAGTTCACCTTGACGAAGACCGAGATGCCCTCGCCCGAATGAACAACACCTGAACATCACCTGAACACCGCCAAAATATCATTCCCGTCTGATATCCAGCACACATTGAATTATCTGGGATTGTATCTTGGACGGTTTACGGCAGATATGTTACATGCCGACATCAACAGCAATTGGAGATCCATATTTGTTGACATTCGCCAGCAATGAAGAAGCCACAGACATGGCCACAGCCGTTAAGCCACACTAGCCCAAATTGGTTCATCGACAATTATTCAGCTCCACAACTCCGTTCATATTTGCCGCAAAGACAATAATATATATAATGCGCCGGCGTGCTGTTAAGAACTTTTTGCCCTTTTTCCGGGGAGAGAGACTATCGAAATATACAAATACACCACAATTCCAATTCCATCACCTTTCCGGCTCTCTCCGCATGAAACAGCCGAACATCCCTAAGAACCCAAGTTATGGCAGACGGGAAATCATCACGCTCCCCAATAAATCACATCATGTCATACAGGAGCCTGACATGAAAAAGGAATCTTCCTTTAATCAAAATGTATTCAAGTTGTCTCTTGCTCTGTCGAAAAGCCGCATAAATGATGCGACGGAGTTGCGCTGCATGATCTTGGGTCTCGATGGCTGTATCAGAAAATCCGAAATTCGAGGAACGAGGGATGACCTGGCTAAACAGTGGGGATTAGATGGTCGGGATCTACGGAACGTGGACCTTGTCTCGGAGGGAATCCCACATTTGTTGATCCGTCCTTCTGTCATATTTATCAGCATGTTCACTCTACGGCTCCTCGTTCGGGCAGATGGAGTGCTTCTTTTCCTTCTCCCGATTGAGGACTGCCACGTGAAGGTGCAGGATGTCTTCATGACAGACCTCCAGGGCAGGCTCCAACACGGTCCTGGATCTGGTATTTTAGCAAAACTCCCATTTGAGCTACGTGTAGTGGATGCAGCGCTTGCCTCTGTGATTGCCACTCTTGAAGCCGAGCATATACTCATCCGCCGAGAAGTCGAAGATAGTTTGCGGGATTCGACAAGAGAAGACGTTGTTTACTCTGTTCTTCGCCGTTTGCAGGATCATAGGAAAAGGGTCGTGGCTATTCAGCAGCGTGCCCGCCAGTTTCGCTCAGCGTTACGGGAAATTCTTGAAAATGATGAAGATATGGCGACCATGTTCTTGACGGATCGGCAGTCAGGTCAACCGCATGAGGTGGAGGATCATCTCCAAGTGGAATATCTCCTGGAGGCATATTACAAAAACACAGATGCAATCGCGGAGTCTGCAAGTGCTTTACTTGGAGACCTGGAGCGCACAATTGAGACTATTCAGTCGATCTTGGCTGTGCGACGAAACCAGATCCTAGTTTTTGAAGCTCAACTAGAGGTCTGTATGCTGGGATTCGCCGTGTCGACTTTTGTAGCGGGCCTGTTTGGAATGAACGTGGTGAACTTTTTTGAAGACAGTACTTGGGCGTTTGTAAGCCTTGTTGGGGCGTGTGTGATCGGAACGGTCACCATTGCGAAATACGGCCTATGGAAACTCAATACATTCCGGAAATTGCGGTTTTAGAGCTTGCTGGTATAGTTGGAGTTATAGAATAATCAATATGAAAAATAGACAATAAACAATAAACAATAAACAAGGGCATTGCCAATAGAGATCAAACGGCACTCAAACTAAGGATGGACGGGGACTCAAAAGTAGCAGTATCAACGACAACTAACTAGGTCAAATGCGAGTTAATCCATTCATATATACTAAGTAATGGCATTTCTCGAAGTAAAATAGGAAACACTCCTTAGGCTATCTGACAGCAAGTCTAGAAGATTCCGTTTCGTATTGACAGCTCTTTAGATATACATGTGTAACTAGATGAACTTGCTCACCTTGATGACCATCCAGGGAAGAAAGTTTCCGCCCAGCATGTCCTTTAACGATTTACCCTTGGGTGTCACAAATGCAGCAATCCACACTACCATGATTACACCGCCTGGAAGACCGACTTTGCACCGCTGCGAGTACCCTAAGCCCTCAACAGCCCCGGCCCCGACCATCCCGCCATATGAATGGTTCACGACTACAATCTGGCGACCAGCTTCTACCATCTCTTTGAGGACGGCATGGGTATGTTCAATATCGGCATGTAGCCCCTTATCTGGACAGAATGCACCCACGGACGGAGTGGAGATAGCTTCGGTTGCAAGTCCACGCTTGTGCATTAGATCCCGCACAACGTCGAATGTGTCTGCTGCATGCCATGCGCCTGGCACAAAGACAAATACTGGGCTCTCAGACATTGTCATCTTGTAACTTAGATTGCAATTGTTTGTGTTTGAGGGGGATATGAGTCCATCTACGTTCAACCAGTGTCTGGGAAATCGGCAAATATCGGTGAAATGACTAAACTGGGTACCTACCTAGGTAGGTAGTGCCTCTGGTGAAATGATTAGCAGTTTCAATGTAACAAGATTCTTCCCGAACCGTTTCGGTTGTTTGGCGGCTGGGATTCGCCCACCCATATACCGCCTTCCCTTATCGCCTATACCGCCTATATCGCCTATATCAAATGAACTGGTGGACCTCATCTATCTTGAGTTCATGTCGTATATCTGGATATTTTGGCGTATTTTTCTAGAATGATGGTATCTAGCCTTTTGTAAACAATCATTAAAAGCCAGAAATTTTTGATTTACAATAGTATTGAAAAAAAAATCCTCTGACTGGCAGAATATTACATAATCTAAGTGGGGCAGGTGCAAATTTGTTACATACAATCTCTGTAATTCTTTTACTAAAATTACGGGCCTCGTCAGCGAATATACGTACAACCTTGGAACTACAGTTATGTAGCTTCGAGGCAACAAGAGGATGGGAATGAATTATGAATAGAAACATGGGAAATTGCCAAGAATAAAGCCGCGGGCAATGGTAACCAAATCACATTGAATCTTAACTATTTTAATAAAATATCCACTTCTTTCAGAAATAATATCAATCTATCAGAGATGCACACAGGGCTATCTACTATCTATGTCGACCATGTCTTGCTCCAAGGCTTAATTTCAAAAGTGTTGCAATAAGAAGGGAAAAGAGACGCGTGGTCCAAATGCGAAGAATATACACGAACCAAGATCAACTCAATTACAGAGCAATCATTCCAACACCTGCCAGGAGCGCAGTGGTAATGTAGGCAGCCATTTGGAAAGAGCCGAAGGATGAGCTGGACTGCAGGCTGATAGCACCGCTGCTAGACGTGGTCGACGAGGCTGTTGAAAAAGCAGAGCTAGAGCCACCGGTGGCAGTATTCTCGGTAGTAATAGTTCCAGTTCCAGCAGTTCCGGCCTCATTCATCTGTGTAAAGCAGGTGCCAGTGGCCTTGGTAACGGCCTTGACAGTCGCAGATCCGGCAAAACTGCAAGCATCAGCAGCACGGTCCTGCTCAACATAGTACTTATTCAGAGCAAAGGCAAGCTGCTGCTTGGTTGTGCACATGCTGTAAGCACCGTACTCGCCGGTGGTAGCATTGGCTGTCAGTCCGCTGCAGTCAGTGTAGCCGCAGACAGTACTGAACAGCTTGGCGTACTTTGTGGAGGCGAGGGATCCGGCGACAACGCAGGCGGAAGCATCATACATGCAGTCACACAGATCGACATCGGCGATAGGAGGTAGAGGGGAGGGTTCGGCGGTCCATCCGGATCCGACGGTAGGGCAGGTCCGCAAGGCAGTATTAGTGGGAGTGTAGGAGGCCTTATTGACACCAGTGGGATTGGCGTTGGCGATCTCGCTGGAATAGTATTTGAAGTCAGGCATGGTGCTGACACTGGTGCTATCGACGATAGAAACCAGACCTGTCACTCTAATCAGTTACCTTCGCCTATATGCGTGAAAGGAATAGTCTTCTTACCGTAGTTGTTGGCCTCCTGGAAGTACATGTACACAATACCACCGGACCAAACCCCCGCCATAGTATCGCCGTACAGAGCCTTCACCTCGGTGAATTCGCGGGGCGTGACCTCGTTGCAACCGTACTCGGCGAAGAAGACAGGGACGGAATAGTTGACGAACTCTTCGGTACGAGCCTGGTATTTGGATTCAGCATAGGTTGAATTACCACACCATGAGTAAATGTTGTATCCCCAGAAGTCAATTGTGTCTTCTGAGTCTCCGCAGTTGAAGTAGTCGGCCATGTCCGCACGGATAGCGGACACATCGGCTGTAGCATATCCAACACCCATAGAGCGGTAGCCCTTTTTCTTGATGTACTTCTTGGTGTCACGAACAGCAGCCTTGACAAAAGCGCTGGCGTCGGAAGTGGCGATGGAGTTGGAAACCTCATTTCCAGCGAAGAAACCAATAGTGTTGTTGTACTGGGCGAGTTCATCGACAACGCTGGTGTATCGGGCAAAGAGATCGGTTTCCCACGAAGGATCGCTCCGATCGATCGATTGATTAGGGTCGGACAAATCGGAGATCACGTAAATACCAGCGGCAGACAAGAGCTTCATACACGCTGAGTGATCAGCAGAAGCATTGATGGCATAGGTACGGATGACATTGGTGTGCAGCTCCGCCAGGATAGGGACATCACGCGCACAAGCGGTGGCATCGGCGAGAGGGTCAGTGTACCCACTGCTACTCGTACTTTCCTCTGTGGAAAGGGTTAGTCGAGATTTTGAATTGATGTCATCAACGACCTACTTTGATAAGCGACTCCACGCATGAAGCTGTTCTTGTTAGTCAGTAAGTTCATAAGATAGTTACCAGCATATCTGGACTTACAACTGAGTGTTATTGCTGGAATAGAAGAACTTGGAGCCCTATTGACAGTCTTAGTAGCGGAATATATCATGATTTCTATACATGGATAGAGGCTGTACCTTGATGACGATGGGATCCAAATCGGCAACAGCAACCCCAGCCAGGGTTGCCAGTGCCACCAAGGAGAGCTTCATGGTCAATATTGGTTTTTCTTTGCGGATATGATACCGCCAGGATTTATAACGAGTGTATATAGCTGGGATAATTGGATTCAAAGGACACGGAGAGAGAAGAAGTCAAAGGAGTGAACAGCGAAATGAGGGAAATAAAGGTCAAAGATGGGAGATCTATGGACTTCAAATCGATTAATAGTAATATTAATAGTTGATGAGCAATCTATGTAAGATTACTACTGAGGGGGAAAAAGTAGAAGAAAGATTCTTAATTGCTAAAACTAATTATGCAGGGGTTTATATACCCTGCAAACCATCTGAACATAAACAACAAATAGCAAACAAAAGAAGGCTCAGTCTGTATCAAACAATCAAGCATGCATGCCTGAGGGTTCAACACACCCCCCCAGACTGAGTATCAAAAATAAATCATAAAAATCAATCTGGTTTGCATAGTAAAATCATGCATAAAATCAACAATTTCCAAGTATCAAATTCCATCAATTTGTCGTTATTTCCTTCTCAATTTTCTTCGTAACCAGTTGCTCTCTCAATCTTTCAAAATCAACCTTCGGTAAGGCCTTTGTCAATATATCAGCTGGATTTGACTTTGAATTAATGACTCTAATATCAATCTATTTGGCCTTCTAGGCATGCTTCACGAAGTGGTATTTCACATTTAACCACTTAGTGCTCTTTTTAAAAGCATCATTCTTTAAGATTGTAACTACATTATCGCTATCAGTATAGATCGGGACTTAAACTTTATCTTTGACTTTAAGATTTAGCTGTTAAAGGATTTTGACCAGATATAATACTTCCCGTACCGCACTATCTAAAGCAATATACTCTATAATAGTACTTCCGGTAGCAACAATATCTTACTTCCGAGAGCTCTATAAAACCGGTACTCCGGTATAGTAGAAAATATAGGCCTTAGTTAATTTGCTATCTTCGTAGTCGTTATATAAAGAATTAACGTAGCTAATTAAACTATCTTCCTTAACTACTAATTTAACTTTATAATCCGGAGCGCCTTTTAGATAGCGTAAAAGCTAAGATAAAGCTTCTAAATCTTACTTCCTTAGGTTGGTAGTTCTTCTTTATAATCGATTTACGGTAAAGGCTATATCTAGCCTAGTTCTTATAGTTAACTAGCCAACCTTACTAACGTCCTCTCTATATATAGATTTCTCTTATACCGTGATTTATTAATTATTATTAATATCTATCTTAATAATTAATCTTATTATCGAACCGTTTGTCGTTAATCTTAAACTACTTATTATTAATTCCTTTATTAAAAAAGGTAGTTAATAGGACGCCTTTATTAGTAAGTACGTCGAGCTAACCCTATCTATACTTGCTATTTATAAGAGGTCTTTAAGATAAGCAGCTTAGTCTATCTAGATACTATAATCCGATCTAGTAAGACTATAATCTAGAAACCTAGTAGGCTCCCCGATTACCTTAATCTTAAAAGTAATCGATTGCTTTAACTATTTAATATCTTCCTTTGATACTACGGTATAGAGGGTATTATCAATATATAGTAGAAGCTATATACTCTTCCCCTTATACTAAAAAATATATCTTTTATTAGATAGTTATTAAAATCTAAGACTCTCTAATTGCTATTTAATCGTTTTATACTATAGGCAAGCTAATTAACGTAAACTATATATTACCTAGTTGATTATATAAACTTTACCCGGTATCTTATACCCTATAGGTAATCTTATAAAGACGTACCTCTCGTTAATTAGGGTATTAAGATAGGTAGTTGTATAGTTAATCTATTTCTAAAACAAATTCCGAATTATTACTATAGAGAGGAATAGTCTTATACTCTCTAGCCGTACTATAGGAGCGTAGGTATCGTTAAAGTCGAAACCTAGTCTCTATCTATTACTATAGATAACCTATCGAGCTCTAAACTTAGTAATATAGTCTTCTTTATCATATTTGATATTAAAAACCTATTTACTAGATAGTATAGTGCTTCCCTTTAGTAGATTATTAATAGTTTAATAGGCCTTAGTACGATCAAGCTTTTTAACCTATAGGTCTATCGCTTACTACTATAGCTCGTTCTACGGTAAATCTAATACTTCTATCCGGTTACGTAGAATCTTAATTTGCTAGGTCTTTAAACCTTAGGGAATATTAATTGCTACCGTACCTATTATTATCTTAATTAAATCAATTGCTAATAAAGCCTTACTATATTTATCCTATTCTTTATCTTCGAAATGTCTTAATAGGTTCAATTAACGTCTAAACCTAGTTCTTACCGGTTATAACGGAGTTAGTATAGGCGTAGATAATAGGTCTAGTAATAATAATATCGGAGATAGTACCGACGG